CGTCTTTGCCGAGTACGACATCTTCCGCGAACATCTTTACAAGAAACTTGTGACGGCTGTGCCGAGTCGCACCTTTCATTAAATCTTATGGACACTGTTCCTGTATAACGATACTGGCATTGCTGACTGGCATCCCCTTCCTTTTAAATGAGATCAGCCTTTCAACGTCATGACTTCTTCTCCGACGGTTCAAAGTCAAGCCCCCTTGATCCGCAAAGTTGCATGTCTTTGGCCTATCCCCGATAACCCGGCAACACCGACAGACTGCTTATTGTCTTCAAAATCGCCCTCTTCTTCTTCCAAAACCGGAATCGGCACTACACCTTGACATTCTGGTCCAACGGTTTCTGGCATGGTTTAATCAACATGGTCACCATTCAACCATCATATCCCGAATTTCATCATTACGTTGCATTCAAATTCAAGTTATAACGTCAGTTAGCAGCACGACAACTATCACCTGGCCAATAAGCCCAGTTCATAACTTCACATTAATTAAATATACAATTAAATATTTCACATGATGTCACGTCTAATTCACGAATAACAGCTTTCAAGAGCCGCTACTTGGCTTTTAACTGAGAGATGCGTTCGAGGTATCTCCAAAAGTTAAGCAGAACCCAACCAAAGGCTCGGGAGGCCATACTGAATCAGCCACACGGCAATGGATCATACAGTTTGTGTCGTTGCACCCATTCAGCGTTTCACATCCTATCACATGCTCGTTAGTTGCGTTACTGAAACAGTGGAGCGGAAATCCAGACAGATGATAAGGTTGTCCATATCAAAGACATGGAAGTAAACTTCTCTGCGAGGCGCAGTCCGAGACAATCAAACCTGTGTGCTTGAAATGTTGACTGAATCAGTTAGGTTAGAAACCGGTGATCATCAAATCGATTCCTTAGCTGACAAATCATGCAGACTATTACAACGATCTGTCCTGAAGAATTCATTAGAGACTCCCCGAGTTTGAAAGCAAATACAGTAAGCGCTTGCGATATACTGCTCATATGACTTACGGGGCTTCGAGCAGGCTTTTTGACCTCGTTGCGATAGATTATTAAAGCCGTGGAAATATAATGAGCATCAAGGCACGTTAATCGTTCTAAAATCGCATTAAGCACCTTGCACATTGCAAACAAACATCTACGTGTCAAATCACGATTTAAGTCATTCTGATTCCAGTTTTTCGTGAAGACGCGTGCGATTTCCTAGATAAACTGACTGGTGATATGGAATGCGTTGCAATTTACGCTATTTTCCATGAAATCCATATCAAAAGTGTGTGCATTGCAAACAAGTGACTACGTGTCCTTCAAAGTCAATCATTCAAGGCTTCATTCCTCCGTAAAGATTCGTACAAGTGCCAGATTACTGATCGATGATTTAAATATGATTTTCTTTGAAAATATCGGCTAGCAACGCGATTATTTATGAATCGCAATATACATATAGGGCAAATCTGCATCAAGATATCTGCACGCTGCGAATAAAGTGCTGCGTTTCCAATTCGCAGTCTGTCTCTCCGATCTTAATTTTACATGAAGACTCATGCAGGTTGCGAATGTAGCTGATACCTGTCACTAGCGTCTGGATACATGACTTGATTGCCGTTCGTTTACACCACGGCTATTCCTCGCTTAAATTCCTCGCTTCCTCCCTTCAAATCGCAACTTACCCATCAGCCTAATATAAAACATAATCCATATTCACACATCTAAGCCCACGACACTTATTTACAGGCACGCAATACAGCTCCTCTTCGCGTTAGTCGTAATGCCATAACCTCACATGTAATGTGGCCTGTCCGACGCATGACCCCGGCCCTCAATCCCTTCGCGCGTTATCATCCTCACCCTGTTCGTGCCATGCCCATCCGGTCTGATCAAACTTTTTTAACCGCGGCTATCTGACAAAGTTTTCGCACCTAGTTGGCGTCTAGCAAATGTAGCAAGGGGGAGAGGAGAGGAGGCATGCCGACGAGTGATGGAAAGGGAGAGCAGGCTGCAGTGCCTCCGCTCTTCGTCGCAGTCCACTCACTCACATAACGGCGACCGCAGTCGCTGGGTGCAGAGCGCCTCCGTCCACTGGGAGCCCTTCCCGTGCGATTCCTGATCTCCCGTCTGTTCCTGTTCCTCCTAAATGCGACATTCCCGCCGGTTTTGTTCTGCTTGCTCCTCCTCCTAGTTTCCGGCCATACGCTCAGCTTGCCCCCATTCGTGTCCATGTTTACGCCCGTTTTGCTTGGGCTCTTTCCTGGCCAGGGACAGGGCCAGGGCCTCAGAGAGCGAGCGTTGGTATACCCCGGGGTGATGTCTAGGCTTGAGGCCTTTCTTTCGCGGCGTTGTGCTGCGTACCGACTGGCTGGGGCCGGGGCTCGGGCTCGGACTCGGACTCCGAACTTCCCCGCGGGCGGCTGGTTGCATCAGCTGGTTGCGTCAGCTGCCTCTTCTCTGGTCTGCTGCTCGACTCTGCACGGGCCTCTCTTGGTCGTCCGCTGGAGGCCTGTCGACCCCGGGGCGGCGAAAGCGCGAGCGGTGTGGGACGTCGCTCCTCCGGATGTCACTCTCCCCCGTGGCATCCTGTGCTGGACATGCTTCTCGCACTTGGGTTGTAAATTGCAGCCATTCCGGGCTACATGCTGTGTTTCCGCCAGGGTGTCTCGTCGTGGTGATCTTGTTTCGACCAGGCTCGCAGCTGCCCTTCCGGCGCGGCCTGTGCGTTCAGACGCCCTGACCGGCCGGCTGACCCTCGCTGGCTTTCCGTCTTCATATCGCAACCCGGCTGCTATGCGAGTTGGGAAAGAATTGCAATGGGGGAGGCAGAAGGGGATTCAATAAGAACAATACTAACAAGACAAAACGACATGTACACACGAACATGGTGTTTGTCAAATGTGACCTCCGTCTTACAACTCTCTGGAGTTCCAGACGCAAGCATTGCAAAAATTCATCGCAATCGCAAACATTGCAAAAATTAGGCGAGCGCATAGGCGGTTGCAGCAGATTGCCGAACATCAGAGCGACCACGCCATCGGCCCCGCGCGTGTCGGGATGCTAATACCGCCACGCAATCATGTAAATCCCGCTGGCGGCACCGCCTGATCTACAGTCGCGCGCACTGGTACGTCAGCACCGGCCGCGCCCAGCGTAGTGGAAACGTGCCGCACCAACAGCGGAGGGCAGCGAAAGCGAAGAACCCACGCGTCTCAGTGAGTAGTTTGAGCGGAGTTGCCGCATCCTTGCATAACGAGGATGCAGCGTTCGACTGAGGGAACAGGCAGCTGAGCCCATCACTCTTGTCTAACGCCTATTTCAAGCTTTAAAACACTCAAACACTGCATCGAAGGTGATATTTTCGCTGCGTTGTATGCCGATTATAGGTGGAAGAGTATGAATGATCACCAAAATGACTTAAAGTCGCCAAAAGCACAACTTTTCGTCCTCCGTAGCTCGATTAGTATCCGCTCCTGGTCATCTCCCAGCCCGCCCGTGATAGCGTGGGGTTCAAGCTGCTTATAATCGCTATCACCCGCAGGGTAATCTAAATCCAGGGAAGTTCAAATTGGGAGGGGGTGGGTGGGGGGGGGGGGGGCAGCACGAGAACTCCTCGCATGAAAAGGGCCTTGGCATCCTCTTTTGGCTGCGTCTATGTGCGCTCACTTCTTGGCCCCTGACTTCGAAGGTCTGCTGCCGTTGGCAGCGACCGTTCGATCCATGCCGGGAAGGTCAAAGGGCAGAGCGAACCATGCTGGGCGTCGCAGCATGTTTAACTTTTACCTAAAAAATTATGTCGTTGAATTTGAGTTTGGGTCGTGGGTCAAACACAACAAGACCGCACCGCGTGTCACACGGCTGCCGCGTGCAGCTCGCTAGACTGATCATTCGTTCATCGTAAGTCAGCCTAAGCATCCCACACTGAGGAAAGAAAGCTAAATAATGCACGCGAACGCGTAACAAATGAAGGGTGATCAACAAGGCCCCAAAACGGCCCTGACCCTCTTTAGCCCAACGCCCTAGGAACTTAGCCCAAGGAAGCCACAGTGCAGAATGTCCCGATAGTCGGGTTGCAGCCACACAGCCTTAGCTTTGGCACACCGAACTGCACCTCAATGTGGACAATGCCACTCCAACGTGACTTTTAACACCCTTACAGAGAAAACTTCGTAAGGGATAGTGCAACATGCACCTCTTTGACAGCTTCTTGCGAATAATTTATCTATAAAATATTATTTTTCAACGTCGACGTTAAACGGTTTCTGTCTGGCATATTTAAGACTGCTTATCCAGCATAGCAACATCCATTTACATTACAGGGAGTGGTTTAAATTGATATGGAATTGTAAACTAAAATAGGTGTTTAAATATCATTCGGTGCAGTTCAAAATCCTGTTATTTTCAAGACCCAAATTTTGCTGTTTTCTGAACGGAACACCCATGAAGATGTGCGCACTATTCTGGGGTATTCTGGAGTATTTCAACTTCACCCAGGCATCCACGACGCCATTATAACGTCATTCAAATCCTGTAATTCCATTGGTCATGTAACGATCGAGGTCAAGACAAACATTATTGTCGAGTCGTTGATATTCATCGTTCGTAGCCACGATTTCCAAACAGAACGGTCATTAATTAGCTCTCAACTAATACTTTGCAAGGCACGATGATGCGTTTAACAATAACGTACTGTAAAGCAGATATTCACTAAACAGAGAAATTATGTTCTCTAGAGCAGCTTTTCCCCTTGAAAAAATATCAGTAGTTGTAAGTGAGCTTATTTCATCAAGTCTTATGCTTCTTTAAATACCCTTACATATGGAATATACCCTTTAATTTTATCCATAAGCTGCCAATTTTGAAATGGAAGGCATAGTTCTAGCACATCACTACACATCTAGGATACCTTTAGTGTCATACTAACTTCTTTACTTGACTCCGAGATACCCTGTTTCATCACCTTGTTTAACCAACCTTGATGACTTGTGCCCAACCTTTGTTTTGGGTAGGAGGAGCGCGTGGTAGGTACGCAACGACAAAGTGAGTTTCAGTTAGTCGCTTCACTGTTGTTAGGCGACTGACGAGTGAGCCGTGATGATGCTGGGCCTCGAATTACCATTCATGTCAGACGGATACATTGGTGGCTAGGTATCTTGCCACCTGCAGATTGTGGTTTATGTATGCCCATGAAATCACCCACCTATTTTCATAATTATTAACGTTGGGCATGCGTCAAGCTCTTCTGTGATGTATCGTGTATGACTTAGCAGAAAATACACTTGATGTTAAGCTTCCTTGATATGTGCTTTGCATAGGCATGTGCATATGTATGCAGCATATGCATGATCAGGCTTTGACAATAGCATGAGCTGTAACACTGGTGGATCCATCCTCAGCATGTGCACTAATAATGGATGAGGGCTAGAATCTAGTTTAAATGTTGAAGCCTGTGTGTCAGGGGAGGATCAACTGAAAAAGACATTGCCTAGATAGTGATACTTCGCACCATTATTTGCATCTGTTCTGACATTATTTGTGTTGTTATGCTTCTGTCAGTGAGAGTTGTGCAATGTTGTTCATGAAAGATGAGCACAATATGCTTTCTGATTATTCAAGTATGTATCTACAATCTATAGAGAACAGCTCAGTATTGGTACCACATGGGATGCTGTAGAATGAACTAAAACAACTAAGACATGCTATAAATGACCCAGGCTTGGGTTCATAAAGATATTGGTTTCTTTTTGTTTGGAATATAACTTTTTAAGCATCTTACCCATATCATATAGAAATAACTAGCTGTGGTTCTAACAGCTTCAAGGTGTGAAGCCCTGCATTTCTATTGGCAATTTGCTCCACAGTGGTGAAGTACTGAATGCTGTCCTGCCTGACACTCCTACAACATCTTTCCCTTTGCTGTCATGTGATACTTATTCTGTTTTATGGTACAGTGCAATATTTGCCTAAGAACTTGAGCTAACTGCTTATCTAACTTATATGTGGTAATTTGTGTTATGGTGTAGATTGCATCCATAGTTTCACCAGCACCAGCACCCTTTTTCACCAGCACCAGCCAGGGCATGAAAAGTATATTAATATAATGCAATGATATATTTTTTGCATTGTAATACTTTCCCTCAGTTATGTATTTATCTTTCATTGCTGATTTTTACCTGCATGTTTTCTTCCTCCCAAGAGATAGTCAAGTTTTGTAAATGATTATTGATGAAGTCAAGTTCCTTAATGATAATCATTTTTGGGCAGCAGTTTGTGCTTTGCTGTCATTGAAAAGCACTTTGGATGATGATTGTGTATGAAGTCTGTACCATATCAACTTTGCATTTCAGATGTACTTACAACATCATGAGGGAGACACTGTTAGCACTTGGCTTTTCAATCATGGGAGCAGTGGTGAGGTGATGTGAGTACACAGAACAGAAGACTAACTGCAAGGATGGGCAGCACATCATCCAAGTTTAAGAAGTATCTCCTTCATGGTGATGAGTTTGCTGCAATGCAGGTGGGTATGTTTCATAAATGGTTTTCATGGTTGCATTTTCAGTCCAACCTCAACTGTGACTATCTCATTTGAAATGTTAGAAAAAAGCTTGGAATTTTCACCAGCTTGGTATTATCAAGTTTTCTGTGGTCTGATATGGCAGTGGACAATATTGACAAGGTGTAGTATATATTATGAGTATGATATGTTTTATAAGATATGTTATTACAGCACTGGTCATCCATATGTTACACAAATTTTAATAATGGTGGGTGGAGGGTCATAACAAATGGTTATGACATGGTGTTTGGTGAGGGAAAGCTATTTCCTGTTGCGGAACAAACTGTGACATCGAAGCATGTTTGGCTTTTGGTTTTTAAACCTGGTATTATTACATCATATTGATCTTGTTGCTGCCAAGGCAATATGCATGGCAGTGGCATGGCTGCAGGTAAGTGTGCTTTTAAAACAAGCTTGATATAGCTGACGATAAGTCACAGTTGAGAGCAGCAAATATGGTACACCTCAACCAGGATGATTTCAGCACACATGAACTTAAAGAGGGGGGGGGGGGGGTAATAGAAAGGGGTGGGTAAGGTATGGGTAAGGTATGCTCTAGGTTTTTTAGGAGGGTTTTATCTTGCAACCCCTGATTATTCAGCTATGAAACTGTTGGTGAGACAAAGCACAGTTTCCAAATGTTGTACTGCAATGCTTTCAAGGCAGTCTTGAATGGAAGTTGTTAAGTCTGGCTGTGTGTTTTCTCAACATTGAAAGATCACCATTTTATTCACCCATTCAATTAAGGTGGGGAGGCAACAGTTTTGAAGTGCAAAAAGCTGAATAAATAGACAGAAATAGGTTTAGATCTTGGTGGTCAGGTGGTGCAGGCAACATGGGACTATATTCATTGGGGAGAAAAGGTAGACTTGTAGGGACAAGTGTGGGCCATTGTGTGCAGTTCATCACACATAACCATATACAAGTTATGTATCCATCTGTTTTGTGGCATTATTCAGGGTTTATGCTGGATTTCAAAATCACATATAGGTGTGGAGACATGGAATCAGTTCTGTAGTTCAGGCAAACCTACTGCCTATGAAGCACCAAGTGACCATGTGGTGCTCCAGTAACAAACCAGAAATTAGTCATTGTCACCATTTCTGAAACAGGCCTAAAAAACAATAAATATATGGTGGCTTAGGCTTAGGTGGATCAGGCATTCCAGCAATACAGCTCGTCACATAGTTCAGGGTGTTGTGACTGATGTCCATCCAAGACATTGGTGTGTTTTATCTTTACTGTCATCACAGGCATCACAGAAGTAAATGGTTCCAAATTAATCTAAATTGTCAATAAAATTTGCTGGTTACTGACAGGCCTAAAGCCAGCAGTTCTGCCAGCTTTTTTGCTTGTAATTATGAGCACAGATGCTCAACATTTATGTACCTCTGCATTCTAAGCTCACGGGCAGATGACGTTACATTGCATGGGTGGATTTTGTCGGTGTGGGATTCGTAAGGTGACTGCTATCACCTAGCTTGTCCGGTGCTGCAAGATCCTACATGGTATCACTGAAATGGTAGGCGCTGACACGCGGTTGGTTACGCCTCCACTTCGAGTTTCCGCGACTCACTTTTTTTTAGAAAAGTACCCAATGAAGAAGCATGTGATAACTCCATCGCCGTCATTGCCACGAGAAATGTGTCTGTGCATGAATGATATAGCACAATGATGAACGGATGCGAGAAAGGCACCCATCACCTGATGGTGCTATGTGTTGTGCATGCCCAATATACCCCATCCACGGCCGAAAGTGCCGTGTACATTTGTTCTGCAGTCGTTTGTCCCTATTATACCAAACTGTTCAATCACGGTGCTGTGGGACGATCGTTCTCGTTGTTCCGGAAGAAGTCTGCACATCACGTACAGGGGCGATGAAAGGCTTGGTAGTTACCGTCAGCAATGATATTCATGAAGTGAATGGTGAAAGAATGTTGTGGGGTGGAGTGTTCAGTCATCTGCAGTATAGGGGCAGTGTGGCAGAGTGTTCAGTCATACATAGTTAGAGGGCAGTGAGGCTGAGTGTTCAGTCATGCACAGCAAAGGGGTAGTGAGGCCGAGTGTTCAGGCATACACAGCATGTGGTTAGTGGGGCAGTGTTGAGTCATATACAGTAATGGGATAGTGGGGCGGAGTCTTCAGTTGTACGTGGCGAAGGAGCAGTGGGGTGGGGTGTTGAGTCATACATAGTAAAGGGGCAATGGGGCCTAGCGCTCAGTCATACACAGTTAAGGGGCAGTGAGGCAGAGTGCTCAGTCATACACAGCATGGAGTTCGTGGGGCAGAGTGTTGTGTCATATGCAGCATAGGGCATTGGAACTGAGTGTGTTCACGTCGAAACAGTGATTTCCAGTACTTGGTGTCCACAGCAAACTGCAGGGCCATTGTTAGCATGCTCTGTTTAGTCATGTCTTGTCTCTTTTTTATTGCCCTCAGCCAGAGACGTTCCCCACAGACATCATTTCTCTGTGTTATAGACATAGAACTGAACCGCCAACAGCCTTCTTGCAAATGTGCATGCGTGCCTGCCCGGTCCAAGAACGTCGTCTACCAACGGCATTGGTTTTTCTCAGATATTTCAGGGCTCTCCGGACCTCCGGAAGAGCCTGGACCCCAACATCAGCTACGGAGAATCGCACAACCTGAACACCCCCCTGCATTATGCAGCCGCCCACAACATGAAACACCTACTGAGGTAGGCTGGGGCCGCTCACTCTCCGATGCCTGCTGAGGTAGGCTGGGGCCGCCCACTCTCCGACGCCCGCTGAGGTAGGCGGGGCCGCCCACTCTCCGACGCCTGCTGAGTTAGGCTGGGGCCGCCCACTCTCCGACGCCTGCTGAGGTAGGCTGGGGTCGCCCACTCTCCGACGCCTGCTGAGGTAGGCTGGGGCCGCCGACTCTCCGACGCCTGCTGAGGTAGGCTGGGGCCGCCCACTCTCCGACGCCCGCTGAGGTAGGCTGGGGCCGCCCATTCTTCCGACGCCTGCTGAGGTAGGCTGGGGCCGCCCACTCTCCGACGCCTGCTGAGGTAGGCTGGGGCCGCCCACTCTCCGACGCCTGCTGAGGTAGGCTGGGGCCGCTCACTCTCCGACGCCTGCTGAGGTAGGCTGGGGCCGCTCACTCTCCAACGCCTGCTGAGGTAGGCTGGGGCCGCCCACTCTCCGACGCCTGCTGAGGTAGGCTGGGGCCGCTCACTCTCCGACGCCTGCTGAGGTAGGCTGGGGCCGCTCACTCTCCAACGCCTGCTGAGGTAGGCTGGGGCCGCCCACTCTCCGACGCCTGCTGAGGTAGGCTGGGGCCGCCCACTCACATCTGGCCGATTTGGAGCAATGCTGGTCAGGCATTAGACGTGCAAACTTAGGTTTCGGATGAACTTCAAGTCGTTCAGCGGGTCGCAATGAAATGAAAACATATCTGTATCGGATCTGTATCTGTATATCTGTGCTGTATCGGAGCCTTTTTACACGTGGCTGCCATCTTTTAAGTCGTGTCGCGCTATTTCCCAGAGTTTTGAGTTGACCTGCAATTAGAATATGCCCTGCATTCAAAACACAATGTCCCCTTGATGTGCGCGCACTTTTCCAACCATCGTTGGTGTGTAGCAGTGCCAGGTGCCTTCTCTAAAAAAATAACAACTACAGACCATTAAGCAAGTTCCCAGGGTTGGTGGCGCGGTGCCGCAATCATGAATGGATGTGAGCCCCCTGTTGGCACGTGGCGCAGGATCTTATTAAAACCAAAAAAAGTCACGAAATGTCCTTGAATCGGCAGCCCCACGTCATTTGAGATATAAAACTGGAGGGTTGCCTGAAGAAACAAGCCATGCTATCTGCTGGGTTATCCCCAATCCACTTTTAATGACAGCACACGCACACGCACACGCACCCGCACCCGCACCCGCACCCGCACACGCACGCGCACGCGCACGCACGCACGCACGCACGCACGCACGCCTTTGCTTTTGCACGGCTGCTCACGAGCTGGTGGGGCCGCGCGGTGGATTCTGTCGCGAAAGGTTCCTCCGACACCCGGTTCACATTGCGGCTGTTCTTATCTTTGCAGGACGTTCCTTAACGACCTGGGCGGTAATCCCAACAAGAGGAACGGCTCCAACGAGACGTCGCTGCACTCCGCTTGTCGCAGTGGCCACCATCGGTCTCTCTCGGCACAGGTGGGGCCAATCCACCTCTCTCTCTCTCTCTCTCTCTCTCTCTCTCTCTCTATCTCTCTATCTCTCTCTCTCTCTCTCTCTCTCTCTCTCTCTCTCTCTCTCTCTCTCTCTCTCTCTCTCTCTCTCTCTCTCTCTCTCTCTCTCTCTCTCTCTCTCTCTCTCTCTCTCTCTCTCTCTCTCTCTCTCTCCTCTCTCTCTCTCTCTCTCTCTCTCTCTCTCTCTCTCTCTCTCTCTCTCTCTCTCTCTCTCTCTCTCTCTCTCGCTCTCGCTCTCTCTCTCGCTCTCGCTCTCGCTCTCGCTCTCGCTCTCGCTCTCGCTCTCGCTCTCGCTCTCGCTCTCGCTCTCGCTCTCTCTCTCTCGCTCTCGCTCTCGCTCTCGCTCTCTCTCTCTCGCTCTCGCTCTCGCTCTCTCTCGCTCGCTCTCGCTCTCTCGCTCTCGCTCTCGCTCTCGCTCTCGCTCTCGCTCTCGGCACAGGTGGGGCAAATCCATCGCTCTTTCTCTCTTGGCATAGGTGGGGCCAATCCAGCGCCCTCTCTCGGCTGAGGTGGGGCCAACCCGCCGTTTAGACCCGCACGATGAGTATAGCTTAGTATGTTGCTTGGCTTACGGCTTGGAATGTTTTGGGCGGGAATGCTCGATTATTTTATTGCCTTAGCTGCCAAGTGCATATTCTGATGAATATTTTCCGAGCGGGCACAAATATTTGCAGCTGCGTTCTTGATTTGGGGGATATGGGGTCAGTGAGAAGCATTGGCGAAGGTCAGCATGGAAATATGTCGGTTTTCAATACAACCAAGGGAACTGGACTCCTCGAAAACAGTTTTCTGAAGTGCAAGGGTGAAAAACTCCGATATTTTCTCCTGAATCGCACAAAATGTTCAATATTGTAAGCCTTCCGATCTTAACCCTGTAATATTTCTGCAAATGTTCTTAACATCGGCCGTATGGTGATCCGTTACACTAGAGTGTGACAGTATTGTGGTACAGTTGTCTCTCTATGGGACCCGAACCTGGTGTCAATGAGCCATGTATACTTGATCTTGCCTCTGCGGGCACACTGAGCTTGCAGTTAATCATTAATTCTGTTCGAAATTGTTGCTCATGTTCTATATCCCTGTTTTTTAATCAGTTATTCGAATGCTTCTCGAGGGAAATTATTGCACGTTACGAATCGGAATGTAATGTAACGCCGATGCGTTCTGATATGTAAGCGCGCGGGTTTCCGACCTGGCGCAGTGGCGGATGGCCTTCTGTTCTGATATCGCCTGGCGTTGGAAGTGGTGGTGTTCCACCTGTGTACTGATGCTGCGCAGCTCCATTACATTCCCTGATACCTCCTGTTATCGGCAGGAGCGGCAGACCATCTGTGTTGTCATGCTGCTCCAGTAAATTCCCTGATATATCGGGTGTTGGTAGGAGCGGCGAGCCACGTTTGTCCTGATGCTGGTGCTCTAGTAAATTTCCTGATATCTCCTCTTACCGACAGGAGCGGCGGGCCGCCTGTGTGCTGATGCTGCTGCAGTGGCGCGGGCCCCAGCCGGATGATGGTGATCAGCAGGAGAAGCTGGATGTCGACGCCCTCGATAAGGCACGTTATGGGCGCGCACTGTCCAGATACGCTCAGCATTTGCGGCACCCATCTCCATTGCCAGTTATCACAGAAATCTCCATACCCGACGGATTTATGCCACTATTTCGTTCAACGAAAAAAATGGACGATGTCGTCAGCGCCGAACGTGCAGTGCTGCTGGCTTACCGGAGAAATGCTGTTCAAATGATGTGGTTAGTTGGTTCGTGACATGTATTGCTCCCAGAGCCAACTTCAGGAGCCGTGCGCGCTGATCTCGAGTCACACGTCCCGGCCGTCGGTTGCACGTTAAGCGCCGAACAGCTGGCGCGAGTGTACGCGGCCGGCCGAGGCGCGTGCGTGCCGAGGAGCGACGGCCAGTGGGCGCGCGGTGACCTGTGGTGACCTGTGCGGTGACCTGTGTGGTGACCTGTGTGCGCAGGATGGCAACACGGCCCTGCACCTGGCCGCGTCGTGCGGCCTCAAGAAATGTGTGGAGATGCTGGTGGCGCACGGCGCGTGTCTCTTCCTGGAGAACGCGGCAGGCCAGACGTCGCTCGACCTGACCGTGGCCAACGCTCACCACGTCATCGCCCTCTTCCTCGAGAGCAAGATGGTCTTCGTGAGTGTCCTCCAGCGCGCCGCCGGAGTGGCGGTGGCGCCGCCAGGGTGGGCGATCGAGAGGCAATTATCGGCTTGGACCAGAGGCACGCTTGTTTCAAGGCTGTTGTTAGGGTTGTCTGGTGGGGTTTGCGAGAAAGAGGTGAATCTTTAGAAGAGAGATTCCATTGTAGTTGACGTGCCCTTAAAATCTAACAACTAACTTGGGTATAGATTAGTATGTGTTTAGGTAGGACAGTAGCAAAAGCCTTAATCAACGGAGAAAAACCGGGAGAATGGGAATGTATATGGGTAGATATTTCGGCAACATGCCTGTATGAAAGCAATAGCAGACCCATGTTTTCACACAGTTTATACTCGATTTCGTAAACCAAGTTTTTGTAAGGCCTGCAAACCCCTGGAAACCCAGATTTGCATAAATGATATCTATTGCCACCCGGGCACTTAGGCTTAGAGATGGAACATTTCAGCAGATACTTTTTAGTTTGTTATCGTTCTTCCAAGCTGTGTGTACGCGCAGTTTTGATTCTTGAAAGGACGCGATTTACTTTCCCAAAGCAAATGCTCGTCTATGTAAGGTGGTGTAAGAATCCGTTGTCCGATGGCACGTGTTCCCGCCTCCTACCACCCATTCCCCCACGCGCTCCATTTTTTTTTTTTTGCTTCCTCCAACATTCTACTTAAAATTCGCGGAGAATATCTATTGCCCATGCAGCAAAGTCCATATTTTGATTATGGTCTTTCTTTTCATTTCACTACATGATGAGTTTTTCAGAGCCCCATGGAACATGTTACGGGTTGTATTGTGCTTAGTGGAAGCTGGATGCGCAGATTCGCAGTGCAGAATTCGCAGTGGTGCGTGCTGGCCGGTCGGCCGACGCCCCATGACGTCCGTCTGGCGCGTGCTAACCGGTCGGCCAGCGCCCCATGACGCCCGTCTGGCGCGTGCTGACCGGTCGGCCGGCGCCCCATGACGTCCGTCTGGCGCGTGCTGACCGGTCGGCCGGCGCCCGATGACGTCCGTCTGGCGCGTGCTGACCGGTCGGCCTGCGCCCCATGACGTCCGTCTGGCGCGTGCTGACCGGTCGGCCGGCGCCCCAGGCCGACCCGAGCGACAGTATCAACGAGGCGGACGGCCTGCTGCCGCCGGCGCCGGCCGACCAGGCGGATGCCGGCGACGACGGCGAGCTGTACGCCGGCCTGCGCGCCCAGGACCTGCAGGAGGCCAAGGACCAGCTGCTGGTGGAGACGGCCGACATGCTGCATGTCCCACTCTTCATCGCTGACGCCCTGCTGCGGGACAACGGTACGGCCGAGCGCGCCACCGCCGGCGTCGGTGCCGCTGGCAGGGCTGACGCTGCGAGGGCTGACGCCGGAGTGGTGCCGGCCAGCGGACTGCCGGCCGCCAGTGGTGGTCTGTTCTAGCGCCGGCTGGCGTGGGCATGCAGCTCAGTTTAGATGCCCGACGTGGCTGTTGTAAGACCTATATCCAACGTAGCCACACATTACAGAATAGACGCGTGTGTGCGTGCTGTCTTTACAATGTTGGATGGGTGCGTGGGCCGAGCCTGCAATGTTGGGTGGGTGGATGGGCCCGAGTCTGCGATGGTAGGTGGGTAGATGGGCCCGAGTCTGTAATGCTGGGTGGGTGGATTGGCCCGAGTCTTCAATGTTGGGTGGGTAGATGGGTCTGAGTCTGCAATGTTGGGTGGGTGGATGAGCCCAAGCCTGCAATGCTGGGTGTGTGCGTGGGCCCGAGTCTGCAATGCTGGGTGGGTGGATGGGCCCGAGTCTGCAATGCTGGGTAGGTCGATGAGCCCGAGTCTGCAATGTTGGGTGGGTGGATGGGCCCGAGTCTGCAATGTTGGGTGGGTGGATGGGCCCGAGTCTGCAATGCTGGGTGGGTGTATGGGCCCGAGTCTGCAATGCTGGGTAGGTCGATGAGCCCGAGTCTGCAATGTTGGGTGGGTGGATGGGCCCGAGTCTGCAATGTTGGGTGGGTGGATGGGCCCATGTCTGCAATGTTGGGTGGGTGGATGGGCCCGAGTCTGCAATGTTGGGGGGGGGGGGTGGATGGGCCCGTCTGCAATGTTGGGTGGGTTTATGGGTCCGAGTCTGCAATGTTGGGTATGTGGATGGGCCCCGAGTCTGCAATGCTGGGCGGGCAGATGAGACCGAGTCCGCAATGTTGGGTGTGTGGATGGGCCCGAGTCTGCAATGTTGGGTGGATTTATGGGCCCAAGTCTGCAGCGTTGGGTATGTGGATGGGCCCAAGTCTGCAATGCTGGGTGGGTGGATGAGCCCGAGTCTGCAGTGTTGGGTGTTTGCGTGGGCCCGAGTCTGGGCGGACGTCGCGCCTGCAGTGCCTTGTCTCTGCCGCCGCCAGACTGGTCCAAGACGCAGCTGCTGGAGCGCTGGATGACCAGTCGGCTGGAGTGCTGCGAGTCGGCCGGAGTGCAGGTGCCGGTGGCGGCGGCCGGCGCTGGCGGCAGCGGCGGCGGCGGTGGCGCTGTCGTCTCACCGCTGGACCAGAAGCTCATCTGCGCCGACCAGCACGACGCCGGCCGCATTGTGGTGCGTTGCCGTCGTCTCGCGGAGACAGCGCGGTGACTTACGCCCGTGTTTGTGGCGGGAGTTTGGGTGAATAGACAACTAGACATGCAGTTTCACATTGGTCATGTTTCTCAGTGACAGAAAAATCCATGAAGTAAAATTGGTCCGTGTAGTGCAGGTTGAAATGAACTGTAATGGACATGCTGTAATTTCACTGCGATGAACATTGGTTACTGATGAGGGGGGGGGGGGGGGGAGGCCATGTGGCGTGATCACTCTTTTACGGTTCCGATCGTATCACCGGATACAGCACTGCTTGATATACAACCGCCCTGACCGTGCTTCGGGGGTCAGAATAGCACCACCCACATGCGTGTCGGAGTGCAGACCCCTCACGATCCCGGCACGAACCGGTCTCCGCTGCGTGTCGGAGTGGAAACCCCTCATGATCCCGACACGGACCGGTCTCCGCCGAGTGTCGGAGCGGAGACCCGTCATGATACCGACACGGACCGGCCTCCACTGTGTGTGACAGTCCAGTTTGGCACGTCTGCCTGTGATGCCCTATTGTCCTCTATGCATATCGAAGCCCTACAGCTGTGCGTGGTGGCGCCGACAGTGTGACATCTGCTGCGAGGAGTACCCTCCGGTTGAGACGCAGGCGTCGACCGCGTGCCAGCACCGGTTCTGCGTGCGCTGCTGGGAGGCGTACCTGGGCGTGCGCATCCGCGGCGGCGACGCACACCACATCCTGTGCCCGGCGCACGGGTGCAACTTCCTGGTGCCGCTCGAGCTGATCGAGAAGCTGGTCAGCCGAGAGCTGGCCAGCCGCTACCTGCAGTTCGACATCAAGGTGAGACCGCGCGGCGCCACTCCGGCCCGCCGGGCCCGACGGGGGCGGCACGGGCTGCCCCCGTCAGGCTCGCTTCGGTCAGTGAGCAAGCGCCGCTGAATTGCATGCTCGCGATGCGTGTCGAGGGGGTCCGTGAGCGCGAAGACGGTGGTACTATGTGGCCCTAGTGATGCATTGGATAAGGATCGCTGTTGGCCGTGCTGGGCCGTTGGTTGTAACCATCTCGCGCCTGAAAGGAGTGGATGAGGAGCGGCTCGAGGTGCGTTCTGTGTTCTGTGTGTGCGGTTTTGGCGACGGGCGGCGGACCAGAGACATAGAGCAGCGGTGGGCGCGGTCTGTAACCGGAGCGGAGTGAGCGCTCCCGCCCTGTGCCGGCCGCGCTCCTCCGCCGCCGCAGCGCGCGTGACGCCGCGCCGGCGCCGGCAGGCGTTCGTGGAAACGAACCGCACGATCCAGTGGTGTCCGGTGGCCGGCTGCGGCCGCGCCGTCAGCTTCCCGGAGGCGGAGCGGGCGCGCGCGCGGCCGGCGCCGCAGCTGGTGCCGCCCGGCCCTCCGCCGCCCACCATCAGCCACGCCGTCGACTGCGGCGCTGGACACTTCTTCTGCTGGTGAGGCGCGCGGCCTCGGCGGCTGTTGGGCTTCGGGGATGCGTGTGTCCGGGGAGATGTTCGCAAGGGACATCGGCAGGGGAAACTTACCGTTCGGCAGGGAAAACAGTGAAGACGCTTCTGTTTGTGTTGAGAGTGGAAGGCCCGTGTTCTGCTGGCGAGAAAAGCAGGGCTCTTTTCTCCTCTGCTGATGAGCGGAGCATTATGGGCATATTCGTACCAGCGGACAGACTCAGCAGCAAGGTCTTTGCTGGCGGCACTAAGATGTTCGAGGGAGCTACCTGCCTTGCGGGTGAGCGAACGGGGGGGGGGGGGGGGGCTGCTGTCTGTGGCGAGATGTGTCAGGGGCGGTCTCTTCCGCTGCCTGTGATGACGGCGAGCGTGGAGAGTGGCAGGGAGTGTCTGTGCTGACCGTGACCGCTGTGGTCGGCAGTGTCTGTGCTGACCGTGACCACCGTGGCAGAGAATGTCTGTGCTGACCATGACCGCTGTGGCAGGGAGTGTCTGTGCTGACCATGGCTGCTGTGGCAGGGAGTGTCTACTGACCATGGCTGCTGTTGTAGGGAGTGTCTGTGCTGACCGTGGCCTCTGTGGCAGGGAGTGTCTGTGCTGACCGTGGCCGCTGTGGCAGGGAGTGTCCGTGCTGACCATGGCTGCTGTGGCAGGGAGTGTCTGTGCTGACCATGGCTGCTGTGGCAGGGAGTGTCTGTGCTGACCATGGGTGCTGTGGCAGGGAGTGTGTACTGACCGTGGCTGCTGTGGCAGGGAGTGTCTGGGCGAGCCGCACGCGCCGGTCGGCTGTGGCCGCTGGGCCGAGTGGCAGCAGAAGGTGGCGGAGGTGCGGCCGGACCAGTTGCGAGCCACCTGGGCCGACACTGAGGACGCCGCCAACGCCCTCTGGCTCGTCACCAATTCCAAGCCCTGCCCCAACTGCCGCAGCCCGATACAGAAGAACGAGGGCTGTAACCACATGCGCTGCTCCAAGGTGAGCGCTCGGCTCTGTGCTACGGTCGGCCGCTGGCCCGTGCGCTGTGCGACCGTGTGTGCGCGCATCCGCCGGCGGCTTCCTGAGATGTGCTGTCACTCGAGCTGCTGCTCGTCGAGCTGTAATGACTTGGTGGAGTTGTGCGCCCCTCCCCCTCCATTGACCTTGGACACGTCGTGACACCTGTGGCGCGTGCACTCGCTCGCAGTGCAAACACGACTTTTGCTGGATGTGCCTGGAGGGCTGGAAGAAGCACAGCTCGGCGACCGGCGGCTACTTCCGCTGCAACAAGCTGGACTCTCAGAACAAGGCGGACGGACGGCACGACGTCAAGCTGGCCGAGGTGAGCGGCGCTGCTGCCAGAGGGACGCAGCGGCGTCAGCGCCGGCGGCCCGCCGCTGGCTTGGCTTATCTTGTGCAGCTGGTTTTGTCTTGTCTTGCGCGGCTTGTGTTGTCTGTTATTGTCTTGCGTGTCTTGTCTCTTCTGATCTTTTCTTGTGTTGTGTTGTGTTGCCTCGCGCTGTGTTGTGCGGTCTTGTCTCTTACGATCTGGGCTTGTAAAGTGCGCAAGACACGCTTTACATTTCTGGCGTTCCTGTACAGGCCAAAGGGTAACGGGTCTTTTTTTTGGGGGGGGGGGGGCTGATTTCTCCGTATTGCATACATCACGATGGCGCTGCAGGGAAATGTTTTGTCTTTTATCGCGTATGCCTTCCGTAAGCTGCAAAGTGCATTGTACGTTTCCACGTACCAGTGATCCGCGCGCGTTGTCTTCCATGGGGCGGGTGTGCTCACTAGCCATGTCAGGCTGGGCCCGTGTGTGACGTATTCATGGATCACACATAGGGCGCCTGTTCGAGTCGGATACGGCGGCCCCCATACAGCGGGCGGTCTGCCGGCCCGGGGCTTGTCACCGCTGACCCGGGGCCTGCCTCATTGCTGACCCGGGACATGCCTCACTGCTGACCCGGGACACGCCTCACTGCTGACCCGGGGCCTGCCTCACCGCTGACCCGGATCTGCCTCACTGCGGACCCGGGACCTGCCTCACTGCTGATCCGGGGCCTGTCCCACTGCTGACCCGGGCCCTGCCTCACCGCTGACCCGGAACCTGCCTCACCGCTGACCCGGGGCTAGCCTCACCGCTGACCTCTCTCTGTCGTCCGCACGGACATCGGCCGGCCGCCCGACCAGCGCTGGCCGTCTCCCGTCTCCCGCGGCGGGCTGGGGTGTCCGATGGCGGCCGGTCCGATGCTCCTGCCGCCGCCCGCTGGGTGGGTGGGGCGTGGCCCCGTGATGGGCGCTCCAACCCCGGGCTGACGGCCGCCGCCCGCCCGTCCGGCCGACAGGCGCAGATGCGCAACAAGCAGATGCAGGAGCTGGCGCGGTTCGTGCAGATGTACGACAAATACCGGAGACACCGGGACCGCCGGCTGGCCGAGCGGCCGCTGCTGGGCTCGGCCGCCGAGAAGATGAAGACGCTCGCCAACTCATCCACCGCCGCGCAGAAAGGTGACTGCCGCCTCCCCTCCTCCTGCCCCGCCAGCCGTCCCCACTCCCGAGCCTGCTCATACTCTCCAGAGAGGTGCGGTGAGCCCCGCTTCCGTCCGTTCTGGACTTGCTCGTGGCTGTGCAGGAGCAGTTGACGAAATCGTTTGTCTGAAAATGAAATTAGAAATTGTTGGACGAAGTCGTTACACAGTCAGTAAATCGTGTCGCTTTCGCCTTTCCTCAACTCGCCCTTCTTACCTTCACATATCCCCGCTCCCGTACGACGGGCATTATTTCCGCAATCCAACACACTGATGGCATCAGCCTGGATGGGTTGGCATTGGCCTCCTCTCGCATCGAGGTGTGCGTGGACCTGTGGCCAGCCATTGGAGTGGTCTGCTGCCGACTCGGCTCAGTCGCAGCCCCTGCTGATGGGGCTGGCAGGCGGCGTCATCGGTGCGAAGTTGGCAGATATTACAAGTGTTACGCAGTCAGCGGTGCGATGCAGTCGGCCCGCCGGGTGCGGAGGCCGTGAGAGCGGCGGGTGCTGCCTTGCGCCGGCCGCGCCCGCGCCGCTCCGCCGCTGCTGGCTGCCGGCGGCGCGGCGCCGACTCACGCTCACTGTCTGGACGCTCCGCCGCTGCTGGCTGCCGGCGGCGCGGCGCCGACTCACGCCCTCTGTCTGGACGCTCCGCCGCTGCTGGCTGCCGGCGGCGCGGCGCCGACTCACGCTCACTGTCTGGACGCTCCGCCACCAGGCATCGAGCTCGAGGCGCTGCGCTTCGTCGACCAGAGCCTGCGCGAGCTGCTGAAGGCGCGTCTGCTGCTCTCTGGGTCATACGTCTTCGCCTACTTCATGGACGACACCAACAGCTACAGCAAGAACATCTTCGAGTTCATGCAGGTCGGTATGAAGCCCTGTTGCCCGGGTGCCATTTTTGGGGAAGGATCCTCGGGAAAGCCTGTTCGTTGCGCACTGAAACGCCAGTCATGGTAACCTTCAATAAAGAAGCAAGCTAGGAGGCATTGTGCAAGAAATGGCGAGTTGTCCGCAAAAACGTGATCATACCTACACGAAAGGGTAACAGGTTTCGGAAAGCGAAAGCGTATGCAGGCAACAGCCGCAGATCGATGCAGCTATTGTGCGAAAGGAGTGGCGCCGGCGTTTATATTGTCTTCTGCGTTTTAAGCACTGTTGACTGACTTTAAGCACTGTTGACCTGCAGTCGGAACTAGAGCAGGCCACCGAAAGTCTGGCCACCATGGCGGCGCTACCCTACCTCAAAACGCCTATGCCCACTATCGTGGCCACCACCCAGCTAGTCAAACGCAAGGTACGTGTCTGGCGCTGTGGAGGGGCAGACTGGTGGCCGCCTGCAGCCGACGTGTCCCGGCCCACCCGGCCAGCTCTCGTGCTCGGGCTTCGCTGGGTATGTCCGTGCGGAGGACGTGGGCCGGTGTCGGCCCGTCTGTTGGCCTGCCTCTCGTATCGATGGTCTGGCGGTCTGGTCCGCCTTCAGGAGGCCTGCCGCCGCCGGACCAGACCGGCACTGCGGACGCGGGCCAGCTGTCTCTGGTGGCGACGTGCCGCCGACTTTGTGACCGCAGCGCACCGGGTGCACGCAGGCCATACGGCGCTGCCGGGCGCCCGGCTGGGGCCGCGCAACGCCGAGCTGCCCGGCCGGTGACAGCAGCACGGCTCGTGAGGCGGCCGGGCTGTGCAGCCGTGCCGGTGGTGATGCGCCCTGCTGTGGCCGCGGAGGGACGAGTTCATACAGGCATGTGAGCGGGGTCTGGTGACGCGCCCGCTGTGGCCGCAGAGGGAGTTCATGCAGGCGTGTGAGCGGGGTGGTGACGCGCCCCGCTGTGGCCGCAGAGGGACGAGTTCATGCAGGCGTGTGAGCGGGGTCTGGTGACGCGTCCCGCTGTGACCGCAGAGGGACGAGTTCATGCAGGCGTGTGAGCGGGGTCTGGTGCCGCCGGAGACGCCGCCGGGGCTGCGTACCCGCTGGGGCCGCCACCTGCCCGTCAGCTACAGCAGCGCCAGCCAGGTGGGTCGCCGGTCCCGGAGCGCGTCAGGTCACGGGCCGGAGCTCAGGTCTGTGGCCGGGTCGCAAGTGTCAGGCCACAGAGCGGGGCAGGGCGCAGGCAGCAGTCCGGAGGGCGGGCTACGCTGGACTCAGCTGAGCTCATGATCTGACCTTCCTCCGCCTCTGGAGGCGGTCAGATGATGAGCTCAGATGGCGGCCTCATGATGTGCGGGTCACGTGCTGGGATGTGAGGCAAGTCATCGTGGGTGAGGCTGTAGGTCTCTGTAGAGCGGCAGGCGGGGTATGGTGACCACTGGTTGAGGCTGTGGGCTCTGTAGAGTGGCAGGCGGGGTATGGTGAGCACTGGTTGAGGCTGTGGGGCTCTGCAGACTGGCAGGAGGGAGTGGCAGGTGGGGTGTGGTGGCCACTGGTTGAGGATGTGGGCTCTGTAGAGTGGCAGGGAGTGGCAGGCGGGGTGTGGTGGCCACTGGTTGAGGCTGTGGGCTCTGTAGAGCGGCAGGCGGGGTATGGTGAGCACTGGTTGAGGCTGTGGGCTCTGTAGAGCGGCAGGCGGAGTATGGTGACCACTGGTTGAGGCTGTGGGCTCTGTAGAGCGGCAGGCGGGGTATGGTGAGCACTGGTTGAGGCTGTGGGGCTCTGTAGAGCGGCAGGCGGAGTATGGTGACCACTGGTTGAGGCTGTGGGGCTCTGCAGACTGGCAGGAGGGAGTGGCAGGTGGGGTGTGGTGGCCACTGGTTGAGGATGTGGGCTCTGTAGAGTGGCAGGGAGTGGCAGGCGGGGTGTGGTGGCCACTGGTTGGTGATGTGGGCTCTGTAGAGCGGCAGGGAGTGGCAGGCGGGGTGTGGTGGCCACTGGTTGATGATGTGGGCTCTGTAGAGCGGCAGGCGGGTATGGTGGCCGCTGGTTGAGGGTGTGGGGCTCTATAGAGTGGCAGGCGGGGTGTTGTGGCCGCTGAGCGCCATCTGTCGCTTGGTCGGGGGGGGGGGGGGGGGAGAGGGAGGGCTGTGTGATTATCCGGGATCGTGAAACAAGGTCTTAGTGTTAGCAAACTCCCGTCTGGTCTGATGGTGAAGCGTTATTTGTCCTAGGATGCAGTTTTGTTTTGTTGTATGAAACAAAACCTGAGTGTCAGCAAACTCCGATCTTGTGTTGCGGGGTTTTGTGTTGTTTCAAGTTATGCTTTCTAGTATGTTTTCGATGTGGGCGGTTTTCATCTTTTTTTCTTATCGATCAGAAGCAATTTAAGTAAGATAGAGTTATGATGGCATTGAAAGGAGATCACTGAGGCAGTGAATGAACTTTATCACTTACGAGAGTGCTGGGCTAGGTTTGGTTGGCGTGTCTGTCAAAGAGGAAGCGGCAGGTGTAGCCGCTGGGACTTACGGCGTGTGTCCGTCTGCGCAGCTGCCGGCCCACGTGGTGGCGACACTTTCGGAGTTGGACCCGGCCGCCTCCTGGTCCAGGGACGTGCAGGCTAACCTCTCGGCCATGTACGACTGGCCCGACGTTGACTGGGAGGACGACGAGGTAAGGGCGCCGCCCAGCCGCGCGCCTGCGCCCGCTGGCGAGGCGGCGACCAATGCCTTCCACTGAGGCGGTCAGGGGCAGGGACGGGCCGGCCAGGCAGCGGCCAACGCCTTCCATGGTAGTGGGCAGGGGCGGGGACGGGCTGGCCAGGCAGCGGCCAACGCCTTCCACTGTGGCGGTCAGGGGCAGGGACGGGGAAATGTAGAGTTCCGCGAATAGGTTCGACTAAGGAGGCGGCTTAATGGGGTGGACTTGCTGGCATGGGCCAGAGTGCCGAGTCATTGCCTAGGTCGGCGTGTCCACCCCACGCTGGCCTGAGGCGTCTGTCTGTGTCCGCCCCACGCGGGCCTGGGCGTCTGTCTGTGTCCGCCCCACGCGGGCCTAGGCGTTGGTCTGTGTCCGCTCCACGCGTGTCGGGGCGGTGGTCTGTGTTCGCCCCACGCGTGCCGGGGCGTTGGTCTGTGTCCGCCCCACGCGGGCCGGGGCGTTGGTCTGTGTCCGCCCCACGCGGGCCGGGGCGTTGGTCTGTGTCCGCCTCATGCGGGCCTGGGCGTCTGTCTGTCCGCCCCACGCGGGCCTGGGCGCGGCATCAGCGCTGACCGGCCGCCCGTCGCCCGGCGCAGGATGATGAGGACGACTCGCTGACGGCGCTGGCCGCCCGGCTGCTGTCGCAGTGTCGCCGCCAGGGCTGCGCCCGGCCGCGCGCGAGGAACCCGCGCACCGGCGCCACACACGACTACTGCTCGCTGAAGTGCTCCCGCATGGACATGCTGGGAGACCTGATGGGTGGGTGCGCCGCCTGGCGGCTCTTGGCTTCGCTAACCCCAACGCTGTGTACGTCAGAGACTGTTCGTCGCGTTTACCTGCGTCATGTTTGTACGTAGCCTTTGTGCCGGGCAAGGTGCCGAGCAAAGTCCTGGCCCGCTTTGGCGCAGCACTTCTCGCCCATGGTTTTGTGTAGCGGTCAGCGCTTGTCTGTTCGGAACGCGTTGTGAGTTGGTAATGACATGTGGCGCGCGTGGCGTCCGTCTGATGGCGCCTCCCGCCGCCGCGCCGCCAGACCAGGGCGGCGCCCTGACTGGCGGCTACAACATGGAGCTGCGCATCGCTCTGGAGATGTCACGGCTGCAGCAGCTGGAGGAGCAGAACCTAGCCAAGCAGCGCGGCTTGGGTCAGAGGTGCGGCGGACGGCGCTGGCTCGCACCCGGCGGCCGCTCTCGCCGCCGCCGACCGCCGGGACTCGGCTCGGCCGCCGCCGGGAGCGCAGAGCCGCATGGGGCGCGGCGCGGAACACTATGAGTGACAAGAACGTCTGCCGCAGTTATTCATGCGAAACATTCACTCGCGTTTGCTTGTTTTCAATGCCAGTCAGCCACCGACTGGCCAGAGCAGTATTCGGGGGCGGCGTGAGGCCCGCCTGTGTGGTCGTTGGTGTTTGTGGGGGCGGCGCCGGTGGCGCCGGCCGTGCCCGCTCGGCGGGTGACGGCGGACGGGTCATCCGTGGCGGACGCCGGGCTCGTCTTCAGCGCCGGCGTGAGGCCCGCCTGGCCGCGCAGGGCTGATGCACTGCGTTGTGCGGCCGGTGGTGTTTGTGGGGGCGGCGCTGGTGTGGCGCCGGCCGTGCCCGCCCGGCGGCTGACGGCGGACGGGTCATGTGTGACGGACGCCGGGCTCGTTTTCAGCGTCGGCGCCACGTGGAGCGCTGCGGCAGACGGCGAGCGAGCGGAGTCGGGCGCCGCGGCCGTCTCCGGCCTGCAAGCGCCTCCAGGTGAGTGCCGAGTGGCGGCCCGGGCCGGCCTGCGCTGTTGGCCCACTGTGTCACCACCTCTCTGTGCGTCGCCAGCAGTTGGCTAAGCGTGTTTTACTCGCTCTGCATATACGCCTCGATGTGTGTGTGCGCGTGCGTGTGTCACGAGACCTAGCGCGAGCTAGCCGCGGCGTGATGGGCGTATGCTGTCGGGCGTGGCGTGTGCGAGGGATGCCGCCGGCGCTGGCCGGCTGCCGCGCGTGCGTGTGTGGCGGCCGCTGATTGGCCGCCGGCCCGACAGGAGAGGCCGACGAGCCGGCGGTGCGGCGTGGCTCGCTGCGGCCCGTGCGCAGCCAGCCCGACCGGCTAGGCGAGGTCGGCGGCCGCGCGCTGCGCCGCTGCCAGTCGCTGGGGGAGCTGCACCGCCAGCAGCCGCCGGCCGAGCCCCTGCTGCTCTCCTCCGACCAGTCCGGTGAGTGGCGCCGGCGAGCGGTGTTCTGGAGCACGGCGACAGTGTTATGGAGCACGGCGGCCGTCTGGTTAATTGTCTGATCGCGACGGGATGGAATGGCTCAAGAAGACATCTCTCGACTGCAGTGTTTGCATGAGGTGGCGGGTTGCAGACTGCCTTAAAGAGAATGGATTCACAATTTTCAGGTCAGGCCGTGTATTGCGAGTAAAGAACGTTGAGGGCGGCCGCTGTGAAAGTGTCATATATTGCTGGAAAATGTATGTGATTCGTAATTTAAAGGACTGTCGTATACCAGGGATGCTGGGCGTGACACCCGCACGGGTTTGCCTCTCAGGATGTTTTTGCCCACGATGCCCCTGTTTTAAGCCTGTGGCGGGCAGGTAGTGGCCGCCACGTGGATGTGCGTGAGCCGGCTGGCCTGAATGTCGGGTGCAGTGGGCGGCGGGGACCGGTGTCTGGCGATGGCTTGTGAGCGCCGGTGCACACGTGACAGGTGACGAGCGGTCCGGCCCGACCACCGACTCTGCCGACCGCGAGGTCTCGGCGATCCTGGACGGGCGACCGGCGGCGGCGACGGCGACGGCGACGGCGGCGGTGGCGGTGGCGGTGCCACCACCTCGGCACATCAGCAGCCGCCTGTCCGGCCACCTGGCAGACGACGAGTCGGCCAGCTCGGCCTCGGACGTGCGCGGCCGCATGCACATCGTCGTCCAGCGGCCGGCGCTGGAGACGGAGAGCTCGGCCGACTGCGAGAGCGAGACAGGCATCCCGCGCTCGCCGACACTCTACATCAGCGGCGTCTCCATCAGCAGGAGTCCGGAGGCGGCGGCGGCGGCAGCGGCGGCGGCGGCGGCCGGCCGCGACTGCCGCAGCCCGGGCCTGGCGCCGCCGGCGCCCGGCACGCCGCGCGGCCGCGCGCTCAGCGTGGCCGGCGAGGCGGCACCGCCGCCGCCAGCGGAGGAGGCCGACGCGCCGCCGCCGTCGGCGGGCCGCGGCGCGGCGCGCTGCTCGAGCCTGAGCCTGCACCTGGCGCCGGTGAGCTCGCCGCCGCCGCACCTCCAGCTGCGCGCCAGCAAGTCGGCGTCGGACGCCGAGAAGCGACGCGACGTGTTCCAGTTTCCGGTGTCGCCGTCGGAGGCGCAGCTCTCGTGCGTGCTGCACGTGGAGGAAAGCACCCTCAGCTCGGACGACTTCCACGAGGCGCTCTTTCTCGAGAAGTCGCCCAAGTGTCGTCGGAAGCGATCCAAGCGCGAGCGACTGCGCGACCGGAAGGCGGCCGTGTAGGCGTGAGCGTCGCTCACTGGGCTCGGTTAGGTGCCGGCCGCCTCCTCCTTCCACTCGGCGCAGGGTACTCGTTCGGCATTGTCCCTCCAACGCACATCAGCCATTAGGCAGCTGGACGACACGGAACTGTCAGGGTTGCTGTTTTGTACCAGCGTGTCCTGCCGAGAGAGTCAGTCTATGCCACCAGCCGAGTAGGCAAGCGCACGGATTACGTTCAATCAGCTCCAGGCTGCTGGGGTCAGTTTGTTCAACAATCATTTGCGGTGATCATTATTTTAATAACTCTACAATGCGATACGCGTTCCAGTAATCAATGTTACAGGCTGTTTTGCACCTAGTTTGCTTCCTATTGTGTGATATTGCAACACGCTTTTGCCGTTCGTATCCAAGATGCGCATATCTTTGTTGCTGCCGTTTCAAGCAGCAAGTTTCATTGACATTGTCACTGGCATTTGGCATTTGCATTTGCCATTTATGTGGTTTGTTTGCTATTGGAATCATTTACGCGTGTTGCAGTGGATACCAAAGTTGGGTTACGATCAGCTTAGCTCGGTGATAAGTAGTTATTAGCAGCATCGCAGTAATGCGATTCGATTTGCTTGCGCCGGGTGCAAGCGCTGTACACTGCATCAAATCCCAAGTACAGCAGGTTTATTTGCAACCGTTGGCTTGCCCGTGATATGCGTTGCGCGGTATTCCTAGTTTCGTATCTGGCCGTGGCGGGCTTGGCCGCCTGTTGTGCCCGGCAGCGGTGTCATCTGTACCCACCTCCCCCGAGTATCCAGGGTGGCGTGTGTGCCGTTCCGGTCTTGCGGTCCTCGTCAGGCGACGACGTCTCTATTTTTCTACGTGTAGCCGTAGCTGGGCAGGCCGATGGCCGGGGCGGGCAGGCGAGTGACCCGGGGCGGGGCAGGCGAGTGACCCGGGGCGGGGCAGGCGGGTGGTCGGGCCGGGGCAGGCAGGTTGTCAGGTCGGGGCAGGCGGGTGGTCGGGCCGGGGCAGGCGGGTGGCCGGGGCAGGGCAGGCGGGTGGCCGGGGCGGGGCAGGCGGGTGGTCGGGCCGGGGCGGGCGGGGTGGTCGGGCCAGGGCAGGCGGGTGGTCGGGCCGGGGCAGGCAGGTGGTCCGTGTGTGGCTGCCCTTTGTCCGCGGGCCGCGCAGCCCTGCAGCGGCGGTCGGGTCGGGATGCGGCCCATCAGTGGGTGGACGCCACGCGCGATGGCCGCGCCGCCTGTGCGCGTCAGCCGGCCTGTTTGGGGCCGTCCCAGTGCTCTGTTCATGTCGGAGTTGGCGTGCGGGTGAACCGGGTGACGAAACAACTGGCCGGGTGTGCACGAGCCGGCGCCGCCCGACAGGGCAGGTCGGCGTCTCCAGGAAGTGTGGGCCTGGCGGCGGCTGCTCTCCGGACAGCCTAGTTTTGTATGTTTGTAACGGGAGCGAGGCACTCGATTGAGCCGTCACCTGGCGAGGCTTCCTGGAGCGGCCGTCCCCGGGCGCCGGATTCATACTGGTCGCAGCGGATGCGGCGACCGACGTGGTGTGACCGATCCATCGGCGGCGTACGCGGCGGCGGTCGGCGCGCCGCTGCCGTCTGAGGGACCCCGGCACGCGCCGGGCACGCTGGTCCACAGAACATGATACGCGTACAATCGCTGCTGACGACACCGCGACACATCGGCCTATGTGTGCTGTGCTTTGAACTGAGTGCGGCGCCAGCCAGCTGCGGTCGCGTATCCCGTGTGGGCCTTTTGTTCGCCTTTGTTCGCGTCCTGGCGTGTGTGCGCAGACTGGCATCCTGACGATTACAGGGCTGGTAATTGTTGCCTGGGGCGGGCGCTGTTACGCCTTACGTTGCGGCGCATCAGCACTCCTGAGCACCTCGTCACTCGAAACACCGCCGTTCGACCTCTCAGCCACGCTTTGTACGCGCATGTGTGGAACGGAATGCGATATTCACAGTTGTGTTCGCAATCGGCTTTTGTTCCGTGGTGACCTTCTCAGGCGTGAGATTTGTCGTGTTCTCGCCCTCTGCCACATCCTGGGGGATAAGCCGTTGCCGCTAGTCGTATGAATATGTGCTGCTTCGTCCCAATGGCTGAGCGCCTGACGGCGCGGCGTACGAGGTCGGGGAGCTGGCAGCGGTACGCCGTCGGGCCTTTGTCCCAGAACAGTCCGTACTGCTGCTGCTCTTTGGAGCGTGTCCGGCGTCCGGTGCCCGGCTCCCGGCGACCTCGGTCGCGCCTGCAAACAGTGGTCAAGTGTTGCGTGTCGCGCGGCGGCGTGGTCTCACGCTGGCCGCAGCGGTCCAGCTCTCCTCCGGCCGGCCTCGTCGGACGACGCAACCGGTCGAGGCGCGGCGACGTTTCCGTTCTGTGATCGTGCCAGTCAGAGGGCGGCTGCCGTCGCCGTCGGCCCCCTCCCCCTCCTTCCCGACGGCTTCCAGCCAAGCGGCCGTCGGCGCCAACTCTGTTCTGTGCGCCGCCTGTGTCATCTGTATGTGATAGCCTCAGCGGTGTCGGTGCTCTGTGTACGTGCGCTGCCGAGGGAAGACCGCTGTCTCGCGTGTGCTCTGTGATTGCCTAACCGTTGTCTGACCTCACATGGGTGTGATGAATCGCTGAAAACGACCCCCACCGTCACGAAAACTGATCTGACCTCGAGCATAGTTACCCTCGCGAAACGACCATGGTTTTCGATTATCTGCGATGGAACGTGGTCGGTGACTGCTCCAAGTAAATTGCGTTTTCCAGTTCGCGATATCCTTTAGACATACGGAAGGTTTCAGAACCCAGGCGCGAAATTTTCATGACAGCCGTGGCGTGCAGCCTGTTCAGGCAGGTTTGTAGCGCGTCCAAAAATAAAAGCGTCCGCCACCAGTTGGAGATCGGTTTGTGTGCGGGCGGACGTGTTCTCCACACGTTTGGGGTTCTACTTGTGTGGCGGACCGGCGCCCCGTGCCGCGCTATCTCCCAGCCTCGTGCGGGGCGCCTGGGAGCCAGCTCGACGCCGGCTGCCCGCCGCATGGCCTGCGTGTTCCCCGTCGCTTGTGCCTCCGTTCAGCCGCCGCGCCAGCGTGCGGTCGTGTGCACCACGCGACGCCGCAGCCTCTGTCGATTGGCGGTGTGTGTACGTGTTCCTGGCGCCGCCGAATACAGTCTGGCCAGCGACCGGGCGCTGTTTTCCGGGGTGTGGGTCAAGACCGCAACGTCTGAGGCATGCGCGAGGCCGCAGACAGCCGCGCAGGTTGTTGGTGTACGGCCAGGCCGGGTCAGCGGGCGGTTGCGCCATGACACCTGAGCGCTCATATGGCCAGCGTAGTCGCTGGCGCTCCTTGAAAGGGGTGCGAAGAGACGCGTCGCGTTTCACTGGAAAAAAAGATACCCACGACGTTCTCAGGACACTAAATCCTGCGCGACCTTTCCCTTGGCGGGGAACCAAGCATGCCCCAGGGGCTGTCCCGCACGGCCGGGACGGTCGCGCAGCGGGCCTGACCCCCCCCCCCCCCCCCTACCCAATGCAACGTATTTGGAAATAACAGCAAACTGGCCGAACGGAGATGACTCTAGCTTGCCTGACATGGCAAGCGTACATGATAGCTGGTTGCCTTTACACGCTGCATGACACCTTCACTGGTACTGTCCGCAGCAACTGGTGGTGAGAGGGCGGTGGGGGCACGGCTAGGGTTCCCGGACGTCATTCGACCGTTCGCGCTGAACACTGGTGTTCTTCAATATTGCGTTGCTTCTTGTCAGTCCTGTCATTCATGTGGCCATGTAAGTCGGGGGAACACGTAGATAAAGAGTCCCGGAAATTCCTGACATTCAACCGGCCCCTCGAAATATTTCCCCGGGCACATGCCGACCAAGCGCCGCCCGCGGCGTTCTCACATGCAACGGACGGCCTCAGGACTCGCCGTATTCTGTATGCATTCATTGTATTCTGTTGAGTGGTCATGCATTGTACAGAGACGCGGCGACGGAGCGGGCGGGGCGAGATATGGGAGATGGGCATGTACAGTGGGCGCGCCGCCCCGACGGTGACCAGTACGCACACTGAAAGACTAGACATGACCCAGCCGGGCGGGCGGGCGGGCGCCACCTGACAGGGGCGGGCGGGCGCCGCCTGACGGGCGGGCGGGCGCGGCCGGACAGGGGCCGCCGCGCCGGTCTAGTTCAGGTAACCACGACACTGGACCGTGCCGCACAGGCACGGGATCTTGTCCTCCTCGTACGGGAATTTGTAGTCGTACGTGATCTCCTCGTTGACACCGATCGGCTGCTTCGAGTAGATCACGATCTTCTTCTGGCCCTCCAACGACACGATCTTGGCGTAGCAGTTGGGCTGCGGGCAGCGGGCGGGCGGGGTTGGACGACTGCTATACCACCAGAGCACAGGCACCTGGGCGGCGCGCTCGGTTGGCAGAGTCCTGGCCAGGGGCGGCCGTCGAAGCGGCCGCGGCTGCCGCCAGCCGAGCGGCAGCCGCCATCGGCAGGGCACATCTCGCCATCTCAACACCTGAACCACATCGCCACACGCTACCACACGCTACCAAAAGCTACATCATCTCCAAAATCGGGCTCCAGGGGACCACCCAGCTGCCCAGTGGCAAACATCGCGTACACCACGTTCGGTTTCTTCACGGCGTAAGCCAGCTCACCATGCAGCTGTGGTTGATAAAGCGGGCCAGGTTGCCGCACTTGGTGGCGTCGATGATGTTGTCGCGGTCGATCCTGAAGAGGTAGCTGCTACCGATGCCCTGGCGCTCGTACACCAGCTCGCGCTGGTCGGCCACCGACTGGCGCACGTGCTGGCCCACGTACTCGATCACCATCTCGTCGGCGGCGATCGGCTCCAGCGCGAACAGGCCCCAGTCGTGGATGGCCGACTTGCCGAACTTGAGCTGTTTCTTGCGGAACTGCCGACGGCGGCCGGTCAGTAGGGGTCGCAGCCACAACGCACTGTGAACGGGCTGACCTCGGGGCACGGTTGGCGCACCCTGAGCCCGACCAGCACTTACGGGCGGTATTCCCAGGAGTGCATCGGATAACAAGTGACGCCAGTCAGGGAGTGTGGCGACGCGCCCCAGGAACCACAAGAAACGTTGACAACAGTCGCGGAGTACCCTTACAAAGCGCCTTTCCGCATGGTAATAAGCCAGATAATGATAACAGTTGCGGAGTAGCTTTAGAAGACGCCTTCCTGCCCAGTAAGCCAAACACAATCGTCCTAACCGAAACACGTCCGTAACTCGCCACGACAACCACAATCGCGGCCACACGCACACCACGTACAGAATACATCCGTACCACCCACAGTCGTCCTGCGCGTACGGCAACATTGTTAATTTGACGCGTGCAAACGGCGTTCGCTCTGTCTGGACGATCAGCCGAGCCGCGCCGCCTTGCCCACCTTCAGCTGGTTGAACTTGAGCAACTCGCTCTCGGTGGCGGCCCCCAGGACCGTGAGGATGCGTCGCTGGTTGCTGCGCGCCTCTCGGGAGATGGCCGCCGCCGTGGCCGCCTTGGCGCGCTGGTCCGGCAACGTGGACGCCTGATCCGTCGACTCCAGCGCCGTCGTCGCCTCCACCACCGAGCGGCCGAAGTGGTACTGCGGCGGCGGTCCGTCAGACCCGGGCGACGGCGGCCACGTCAGGTCACACACAGCGGCCACGTCAGGTCACAAACAGCGGACGTCGGGTTACACACAGCGGACACGTCAGGTCACACACAGCGGACACGTCAGGTCAGACACAGCGGACGTCGGGTCACACGCAGCGGACACGTCAGGTCACACACAGCGGCCACGTCAGGTCAGACACAGCGGACACGTCGGGTCACACACAGCGGACACGTCAGGTCAGACACAGCGGCCACGTCAGGTCACACCGCGGACACGTCAGGTCAGACACAGCGGCCACGTCAGGTCAGACAGCGGCCACGTCAGGTCACACACAGCAGGCACGTCAGGTCAGACAGCGGCCACGTCAGGTCACACACAGCGGGCACGTCAGGCCGCCGGATGCAGTAGGCGGGCCGCCAGGTCCGGCACGGCCGACACGACGGCGTTCGGCACAGCGGCCACGTCAGAAGACACAACGGATACGTCAGACCCCGCAATAGACGGACATCAGACCCTGACCCAACGGGCACAGCAGGTTCCGCGACAGATGGACGCGTCACGGTCGGCGCAGAGGAACGTCAGACCCGGCCTCCGGAGTGAGGCCCCAACATCATCGGAACGGGGGGGGCCAAACAGAGAGAAAATGTGTAGGACAGGCCAGTCCGCTTGTCCACGCAGCAAACCACCTCTGGTGTCAGACTGCACACACGACCCCCCACCACCACCACAGCAGACCCCTACTCAACAGCACGACGCGACACCGCGGATAAATAAACCCCGGCAAGGGACGGACACTCAGCCTCCAGAGATGGCGTGTACCGCAAACACATGCGGGATGTAGACTCCAGCAGTCGACATAGGCTACACGTACTGTCTGTTACTCGACACCGCAGGCTGGTGCACGGGGCACAGCCGCCGCCGCTATCGCAGCGAAACAGCTTGGAGCCAAAGAGAAGCCAGCAGAGCGCGACACAGCCCGGCCGACCGATTGAAGGCCGACTGACCACTCGATGTAGCGCCTCAGGCACGCAGTCTAACTCAGGCGCGCGGTGCGCCCGGAGAGCAAGGCGGCGTGCATTCCTCGCGTCTACATATCAGAGTACACACACAACGTTCGAAGAGAGCAGAGAAACAGCAAATACACAACGTTCAAAAACAGCAGAAAGGCAGCAAATCCATTCAGTAACCAGACGCACCTTGTGTTTCATTTTCTCCTTAGCCGAGACGCGGTAGTAGCCCTCGGTGCGCGCGCAGCCGGAGCGGTGGGCGGCCGGCTCAGTCAGCCGGCGCCGCTTCTCCGGCCGGTCGGTGGCCGCGTGGTCCACCCAGTGCGTGTCGTTCAGCCAGTAGCTGTTCTGATCGTCGGCCAGCAGGCTTTCATAGCAGCGGTGCAGGTAGCCGATGTCCTCCGCCGTGATGCCGCGCGTCAGGAACTCGTACAGCAGCGCCATCTCCGACATCACGTCCCGCTTGGCGAGCCCAGCCGCTCCCCGGGCGCCGAGCTTCCGTTTACCCCGCGCGAGGGCGGGCGCCGGAACGGGCGCGGGCGCTGGGGCAGGCGCGGGCGCCGGCGCTGGAGCGGGAGCCGGCGCCGGCGCCGGCGGCCGCGTGTAGCCGTGGTCCTGCAGCAGAGCCGCGCGGATGTCGGCAGGCGAGGGCGAGCCGACGCGCACCGGCGCCGGCGGCCGGCAGTACGAGTGCTCTTCCCAGGGTGAGCCGCTGCCGCTGCCCGGCCGGGTGATGCCCGGCGCCGGCGCCGGTGACGGAGATCGGCCCGGCGTGGCCGGCAGCGCCGGCGAGTCCGAAGCCCTGCCAGCGGCACCGGCAGCGTGTCAGTGCGGCGCCCAGGCGGTCGGCACAGACGGCGTTTAGCGAGTGGACGCCGCCGCCAGTCTCGGGACCGCACAGCTCCAGTGGGAGCTTCGTGCGCAACCGGCATACGTCAACGGTAGCAACGGTAAATGGTACATATCATAAGCTAATACCCGTGTGGACGGGGCGACGGTGAGATATCTACACCAGAAACGTCCTGCAAAATCCCGGCATCCACCCCCCCCCCCTTCCCCACTCTCACACACATATACCGTCTTGACGGATGGCCATGCCGTGAGCACCGGACCTCCGATATCCGGACCTCCCAACCTCCGATATCCGGTCCTCCGATATCTGGATAGCTCGAACGATTTTACAAATAACATTCCATTTACGTCAAAAGATACATGAGGCACGATCTGCGGTCGTCAGGCGTGCCGTCCCGGCTCCGGCTCCGGCTCCTGCTCCGCGCCGGACTCACCCGGTGGCGGGAGTCCTCTGGTCGGAGGCGGTGCTGAGGTGGCGCGGCGCCAGCTCGCCGGCGGCATCCTCCTCTGGCCGCGCGCCGGCCGCCAGCACCGCTTCGATCGCCGAGCCGACGCGCTCCTCCTCGTCGATCGAATCAGCGGTGCGTCCCGCCGCGCGAGGCTGCTCGTCCGCCGCCGCCGGCACCTCGTCCAGCGGCACCACCTGTTCGTCCAGCTCCCCGGCCGAGCGTGCGCGCACCGCCTCGTCCGCCTCGGTCTCGCTCTCCTCGCTGCTGCTGCTGCCGCTGCTGCTGCTGCTGCTGCTGCTGCTACTGCTGCTGCTCGCGCTCTCGCTGCTGCTGCTCTCCTTACTGCGGCTGCTGCTGACGCTGCTCGCCTTCCATCCCCGCTCGTCCTCCTCTTCCGCCGGGGGCTCGTCCTCTTCGCTGGACGTGTCGTAAATGCGCGGCCGCGGCGGCGCGGGCTGTTGTGGCTCCTGCCGCTCCGGCTCCGGCTCCGGCTCAGAGGCCGCCTCCGAGTCGGAGTCGGCCGCCTGCCGCCTGTCGTCATCCGGCGCCGGCGCCGGCGAGCGGCGCGGAATCTTCCGCTGTCGGTCCAGAGGCACACGTCAGTGGTCAGAGCACCACTGCCGGTGTTGTGGCCGGCTAGGAGGCAAATATTCTGAGTTGGCCCAGGAATGGATAACATAATTTGGGATCCAATTCATCTCTCGATTCATAGCAGTTCCACTTATTTATTCGGCCCAGTTCAGACTCAAGTAGATAGTAGAGGGATCAGGCATGGACTAGTTCATTGTTGTGACAGCTGACAATGAAAAGTATAACAATCACTTGAGTTCATAGGAAGAGCAGAATCCTTTACTGATTTTAGGGTAGGGTATAGGAATGTAGTCTGTCTGTACCACACAATACCCTTTAGTTCTTGACTGATATTTGGCAAAGTTAAGTTCAGGATCAACAATATTGTGTGTGCTGTTTAGAAATTACAACGGCAAGCTGGGTGCTGATTTTGCACAAAAAAAACTTTATAACTAATGCTCTACGTCATTCTTTTCGACACTGAAGTAATCTGGCAATCTGCCTGAGGTGTCATGCATTTCCTCATGTTCTCATTTTCATCTCAGCCATATGACTGGGACAACATTGTTAGAAATGATCGGCTTATGAATCAGACCATGCAATTAACGAAGAATCTGATTCAGCTCGTGACTCCAAGCGGTATTTTTCCTAATGAGCAGACTCAGCTCACCCCAAAATGAACGACTCATGAGTCGATGTATGATCCAGTTCGAGTCGAACAGAAGTCTGAAGGCAAGAGTTATTTTTGTGTTCATCGTGTCGTGGACTCATAGGGACGATTTTGTTCCTTCCAACAGCGATGAGTCCTCCTGGTTCGCAAGACGCGTGCGGGTTCACACGCGTGACATAAAAAATTCAAAAGCTCTGCTACCACTCTGTAACGCAGCTGCACGCCGCTCTTCAGTACGGATATGTGCATGACGCCCCGGCCTGTATGCTGCACCCATCCAGTCCAACCTAACGTAAAGGGCAGCCACACACCGACCGCGCCCTGTCTACGCCGCGCCGGCCAGACGAGCGAGCGAGCGAGCGAGCGCAGACCGACGGCCACTTACTCTGAACGAGGGCATCTTGGGCAGCGCCATGCGGAAGCCGAGGCCGAAGCCAGCGCCGGCACCGGTCAGCGAGCCTCGGCTGTTCTCCAGCAGAGAGGTGAGGTCGGCGCGCGGCGGCGCCAGCGGCGCGGCGCCGCCGGCCCGGCTCTCCTCGTCCCGCGCCTGCCGCACGCACCGCGCCCGTCAGCCCGACTGGGTCACAGAGGGCCGCCGCCGGACGGCGGACAGCACGCTGCGGTAACACGCGGGCCGGCCGCACCAGCCGTCCAGCGGCGGAGCGGACGGCAGAGCGGGCGGCCGACGCCAACAACCGACAAGGCAGCAATACATGAAAGGGAATGTTCCACAGATGAAGGCATTGAATCAAACATCAAATGTGACGAAATCAGCTCACATAACTAATGGCGTGCTTTTAAGTAGAACAGACTACTCTTGACAATACAATTTCTCTGTTCAGTAAACATGCTCCTCAATACAGCGCTGTTTGATTACATCATCGTATCTTGCACAGCAATGATCGAGAGCGAATACACGGTCGTTATAACTGGAAATCGCGCTCACGAACGCCACACATGAACGAACTGACAATCATCTTTTTCATTGGCCTTGATCGACGCATGGCTAATGGAATGGCAGCATATGAATGACCTTATCATGGCGCCATGGATGGCAGGATGACCTTGATATAATCTCCCGAGATAGTCTGCACATCTTCGCGAGCGTACAGCTCAGAAACTAGTAGGGTTTAGGTCTTACGAATGGCAGGTCAGTGAACTGCACCGAATGATTTTCAAGATGGCTGTTTCTGTTCAAAACCCGGTACAAATGTGGAAAATTTCCTTTCCGTCTCACGCTATCAATGACGCACAGGTGTCTCCGAATTCAACAGACGGGATCGTCGCACAGCAAACACGATGCTGGACTAGGGCGTTACATACCGTGATACACTACTACAGCCCCCATACCTTATGCAGCTCAGCCTGGCGGTCCCACCACTTCTCCAGCATGCGGTACGCAGTGTTCTCGATCATCTTCTTGTTGAAGTCTCGCTTCAGAATCTGTTTGAGCTCCCGGACGACTTCGTCCAGGGCTCTCCTGAAATACGAGCCAGAAATGTCAGCACACTGGAAAACAAATAACTCCGGACAGTGCGATTGGCGCAGAGCGCTGAAATACGGCGATGTAAAATTAAAGACGTCCAAATGGCATGTTCTGTTTTTCCCCAAGGGATCTTAGAAGACAAAAATACGTAGCTTCTGAGTGTCCAAAAAGTGGTCCAAAAGCTTGTGGAGACACCTGCACGTCTCTCTAACATCGCACCGAAATGCCCCATAACAGAGCATTCTAATATCACAGCTTCCTTCTTTCAAACACAACTTTTTAAAAAGCATATCAGATTAAAGACAACTGTGCTCTGCCCACCGCAACTAAACAACTGTTGGCCTGTTAGCAGTAATAGGACATATTTAAAACAACACAAAAAAGGCGTAAAAGATAGTGTCAGCGTGTCCATAACGCCCGGAGAGCGACTCCGGCACTAAAGGAAGACCAGGAGCATAATGCAACCCTTGGAAACGGTCAAATGAAATTGCTGACACCGCAACCTCAGCTTACAGCAGCTCAATGCTTGGGGAGACCCAGCACAGCCAACGAACCGTGGTGCCGCATCCGCAGCGTGTCCCGGAGCTCTAGCTGCCAGCAGCGGCAGCAGCAGCGGCGGCGGCCACTCACCGAGACACGAGATCGGGCGTCAGCGGCTCCGCCTCGGGCGCCGGCGCGTCGCTTGACTGGTGGGCGGGCGGAGGCGCCAGGTACTGCTGGAACCCCGGCCCTGGCCCCGGTCCCGGCGGCGGACACGGGTACGGGTAAGGGTACGGGTACGGGTACGGCCAGTCCTGCGGCCGCCACGGCGCCGGCTGGCACGTGCCGTCTGGTGGCAGCGGCGGCGGGTACGCCGCGAACGGCGGGCAGGGCGGCGGCCCGTAGCCGGGCGGCGGACAGTCCAGTCGGCCGTTCTCCTGCGGTGGAGGCGGCGGCGGTGGCGGCAGCGGCAGCGGCGGTGGCGGCTGCGGTGGCGGCTCGGACGGCCTGTGCGAGCGGCGCCGCCGCCGCCGGCCGCCCACGGTCAGGCCGCCCAGTCGTCGCTGCAGCTCCTGGAACGAGCGCACGCCGTCGAGCGAGCTGCGCCGCCGGCCGGCCGGCCCCCGCCGCCGGCCCGCCTCCGCCTCCGTCTGTCACCACTCGCGGTGACTGCGCAGGTACAGCTCGCGGGAGGCGAACGGCGACGGCGTGGCGCTGAGCGGCGACGGCGCCTCCCAGTCGGAGCCGCTCTCTGAGCATGAATCGGACGCCGACTCGCCGCCGCTGTCCAGCATCTCGGCGAACGACGGCACCAGCACGTGGCGTGCCTTGCGCTGCAGCAGCTGCGCGATGCGCGTATCCAAGTCGAGCCGCTCCTCGTCGCTGTCCACAGCGGCGCCGGTCGCCGACTCCCAAGGCTCGGCGGCGAGATCCGAAGGCTGCCTGACGACGGCCGTCCGCTCCGGCTCCGGCTCCGGCTCCGGCTCCGGATCGGCGGCGGGCTCCGGCTCTGGCTCCGGCGCAGCCAGCGGCGGCAGGGCCGGTGGCGGCTCCTCGCGACGCACGGGCCGGTCCTCGGACAGATCCTCCGCCATCTGCCGCACCTTGGCCCCTGCCGCGCAGCACAGCCACGTGAGAGCCCGCCGGCCAGCTGCAGACCTCGCCACAACCTGCGCGCGGCACCAGACGGCTGGGCGCCATCGGCCCAGTGTTCGCCAACGACCGTGTGCGCAACGTCCTGGGTTCGGGGCTCGGCATCAGCCTGGAGATTCTCCGCCCCGTCCCCCTCGCACGATATATTGCGACGTTCAATGGCTAGGGTCTGAGATGCAGCTCTCCTCCTCCCACCTAAACAGTAATAATAACAGGATACGATCAGTGGATCAAGCAAGCCACGCCTACCAGCAAACTCCGGACGAAGGCTGCAGTGACCCAGCGCCTTTCTGAAGCCAAGGTCGGCCGGTCACCACGCGTCGCTCACCGAAGGCGTCTGGGAAGACGTTGAGCACGTTGCCCATGACCGAGGTGTGATTGAGCCGTTCTGCGCACAGTCGGGCGCCCTCCACGCGATGGAACACGGCCCGGCCCAAGCCCAGGTGTTTGCCGGTGCGCGTGTGGTAAAAGATGGTCAGCTCCTCCAGCTCGCCGTACTTTTGTACCTGGGCAAGCATGCAAGTAGGTCAGTACTGCTGATACTGGCGGTCCAGAATGTGGTGGCCAGAAAGAACATAATTCAGCAGCTAATGAGCAATTCTGAGACGTGAAGGCGCTGATGATCAGCTGGCTTCATTACCTCCATAATAAGATGTGGCTACATGATGCCTGAAATTCAAGCGACGAAATGAGTAAATGAGTGTATATAAAAAAGAAAACAGGTATTATGCGGTCAGAAAACTGTTGACATCATGTTATGCCAGTGTTAGCCAGTCATGTCTATCATGGCATCTCAGTATGACAAATCTGAGGCAAAAAGTACCAAGCAGAGGCAGGAAAAACTGTACGGAAATTCGTCGGTTCATCTTTCTGCATTATATCGCGCCCTGTCGTTGGTGACATCCTATCCGAGCGTGTCATGTACAATTGTACAAGACAAACTAAGACATGCTCCACAAATGAAATGCGTATGTCATGACATGCGCAGGATATCCCGATTGTATCAGCACACATAGTTATGCCGCTGAAGTGGCCTGGGAAGCATCCCACTCGCCCATACCCAGCCTAGTATGCACCGGCTGTCGGTATGTTGGATGCGCGGGAGTCGTGACCAGTGTGAACGCTCCGGCACCTACCAATTCAGAGAGGAACGCCTGGTCGATGTTGTCGTTGATGTTGGTGATGGAGACCTCCAGCGGGGGAGGCATGCCCACGTAGTCCTCGTCAATCTGGCGACGACAGTTAAAATTGACACTCCATTAAAAAAGCTATAGCCGATGGGTTAGGGCTGACGCTCTACTGTGTCACTCCTACAGCGCTGCTGCAAAAGAAAGGACTCGAGGACGGTAGCACCTTGCATCCACTCAGTTTTGCTGCGATCATTTGAACGGTCTTTGTCATATTTACTATACTTTTCGTTCACGCGAAGATAAAATCATACTGAAGTCAGATCATGCCGTTGCTTATTTCCCAGTGATGAAGTCAAGTCAACTGAAAGCACCCCCCGACCTATATAGTCAAAATCCCAGACACGACGGAAAAATTGTATGTCCAGTGCATTCACGTTTGCGGCCTTGTGATCATTTGCATCTTTTGAGCACTTGAGCTTGGAACCTGTCCGATGCAACTTGATACAACGGCCGTCTCAAAACGCCGGCGCGAAGCCTGACTGCGCCCGGCATCTGCGGCCATCAGCGGCACCAAGTGCACCTACCCGAAACTTGGGCACAGGCATCTGCAGCACTTCCATGCGCGACCAGATGCGCGTGAGCGGCGGCCGCGGGTCGCGCACGTGTACAGTCGGGTACGAGGCGTCGTTGGGCACGCGGCCGTCGTACCTGCGGCGACGGGGAGCGCGCGCCACGGGCGTCCGGTCAGGCTGGGGCTGTCACACTGGGGTGGGGACATCACAACCTGCAGCTGCTGCTCGGGAGGCACACAGAAGCGTCAGGGATATAAAAAACACATAAAACAAACGGCAAAGAGCATTACGAGAATATGGCCGAACAATGTTTCAAGATCTGCTTCAGTTTTGCTTTAAACCTCTTAAAAGTCGTAAGATATTATGAGCGTCATAATTCGCGACATACTTCGAATAATATCCAAACATCGCTTGGAAAGCTTTCACTGATTGCCGTCATACATAATGATTCGCAATTATGGATGTCATAGTTCAATGGCTGAGGAAAGTTGGAAATCAGTGAGGTGAAGCTGCTACAATCAGAAGATTTTCCATGGTAAATATATATATATAAAATACAGCTATGTTGACTGGAACTTCAAGTGGCCAAGCCACCACATTTGCTATTTGCATTCTCCAGTCAGTGTGGCAATAATATCCATAGATGATATAGACATCCTTACCTGTAGATCTTTGAAGCTCCCTGGATGATGCATGGATCTGATAACAGCTTGAATGCTTTGTACTTTGGAGGTGGTGGGTGTTTCTCTTTTGCTACATGGTGATGAGGATGATGATTTGGTTGATGATGGTGATGATGTGCACTGTTGTGGTGATGCTCCATGACTCCATTCATCATAAATCAAATTGGAGACTCACTGCCTGAAAAATACATTCTTGAGCATCACATTGCCAACTGTCCTCCTATGACCATGGTCATGTAACATGTGTGTCAGGCATAATATGTTGGGAAGTTCTTGTTATAATTTTTATAGTGTGAATCATGAAATTACATATATGTCACCTTATTTTCTGGGACAAGGCTTCAATCAATACATAATCCTGGCAACTACATCCAAAAAAGAAAACAAACATTTTAGAGTTAGAGCTAAAAATCATAATCAAACAATGTCCTCATTCTTTCTCAAAGGTATACAACTATGATAGTTGTAATGCATGTTTATCCTGCTTGGACAACTCCAGATCATGAAAACTATACTATGAACAGAGGAAAAATAACATCTTAGAATGGACAGATAATATTTTACAACTGAAACAAAACCGTGGAAGCATTTTCGTACTCTTCATCAGAGGCCTAAAACAATAGCATTACCAACGTCCATTAGTTCCTGCTTGGAACACCCCATATCACTAAGACTACATTATCAAGAAAACATTTTTGCCAGAAAGGTCATTTGCAGATTCAGCAGGAACCCATAAACGCAAAATTTCAATAGAACATATATTTGGAAGGTTCTATACACTTGCCTGGGATCTGTAGCACCACACCCATTTAGTGGTCCTCTATATCAAGCATATCAATCCAAGGCCCAAATAGATATATTTTACCTATTAGACAGCAGCAGAGCAGGCAGGGGGGGGGGGGGGGCACAGAGGACACGTGCCTTGATCAGGTTCCGAAAAGCCAGTTAGAGGTCTCATTCAGGGGCCCCGGCCCACAGGGTCGCGCACAATGGCCCTGTGCTCGCAAGGGCCCTGAGCCGACCAAGGGAAGTGTTTGATGAGGCCTGAAGAGCGGCACGGGCGGCCCACCGGAACCGGCTATCAAAGACCCCGTCGGAGGGCATAGGGGCCAGAAGGGTTGGCTGCAGGTCACATAAAGAATTGCGGCCTGCGGGGTCGTGACCTGAAATGTCAGTCAGACGTCCTCTAGCACCGTTTTAGGAATCCCTGAAACAACGCGGGTGTCTAAGTCGGTCAGAGACCACGAATACCGAACATTCGGCTCCAAGTCCGTCTGAGCCCTTGAAATCCATTTTCCAAGCAGAAACGTGGCTCGGGCCCGCGATTTATAATGTTTGGGGTTCTTGACACAATGAGGGATCCTGTGTCGGTTAGGGGTTCTGTGGCGGCAAGTGGCCCCGACACGGGGCGGTGTTTGAGGGGGCCCGAAGGGGGGCCGAAGGATATTTCGAGGCCAAAGATCAAAGGCTCGATGGCATGGCTGAAGGGTCCGAAGGGCTGGCTGTTGGTTATATTAAGGACCCCCGCCCATAGAGTTGTGATCTCAAATGTCAGTAAAATGATCTCTTGCACCTATAGGAACCCCTGAGACAGATCGTTCCTCTATTTCGGCCAGAGATCGCGAACAACGAACAGTCAGCTCCGTGTTGGTCTGAGCTCTGGGGGCCAATTTCCCAAGCAGGGACAAGGCCAGACCCGCGATTTACATCGGTCAGGAGCCTGTATCGTTCAGGGGCCCACAGTGCGTAATGGGACATCTTATGCCAGCAAGGGGCCTCGAATCGGCCAGGGGAAGATTTGTTTTACACGGACAGGGACGGGAGCCTGAACGGCAGAGGGTATCTTGTGTTGGTCGGGACCCTCTGACAGTGGAAGGGAACAAGAATTTATGAGTGCTCACAATGATGTAAGAAAATATTCCTGTGCCATTCAGGGCCCCCAGTACCCAACAGTGGGCCCTCCAACCCTTTTCCAGCATGGGCCTGTTGACCGCAGCTGGGGTCTAGACGCCAATTATTTGACTACCTGCGATGAACAAGGATGTTGTTGCGTTTATGACGGTTTATGCGTCGATCTGAAGTCAACCGCGCGGGTAAGACGGCCTCCCGCCTCAGGGAGTGGACCAACGTGATGTGATGCATCCCTCTAAGAGCCCCCGGATTTGCCAGGGGATGCCGGTGTCGCCAGAGTGACGGCCGGAATACACCGCGGTGGGACAGAATGGCCCTTCAGCTATTGACCGGGAATGACAATGCGCCCCGTAGTGTCGTACTCAAGGGGGCACCTTTGCCGTTAAGAAATAAGGGGTCTCATTAGTGCTGAATGGAGTGGGTCGGAATGAGTTCGAAACGCACAAGGTCATCCCATGTTTCCCCCGTACCAGACGCGCTGGGAAACCACAGGCACGGAATTCCATTATCCGCGGTGCCCGCCCTTCCCGCTAGGGTGAGAGGCTGGTGGCGCCATACAGCCCCAGCAGCTAAGTCCTGATGATACGGACGTGATCTCGGGGAACAAGGGTAGCGATGGCTTGAGTTGCACTTTTCGTAAAACCGAACGGCGTTAGCCGCTGCAAGTAACGCTAGGGGGCGGGCGTCGAGTGCGCAACAATCATCATAGTAAAATCATATTTCTAACGTCTTTCAAAATTAATTCAGCAACACAATAAATAAATTTTACTCTCGCGGTGCTATTAAGACCAATGCGCTGCTGTTACCAACCTAAAAACCGCACAGGTGAAACACACACCCGGAATATCTCTAAATGTACAATTTGGTGTTCAAAAGCATCCAAAGGCACTTCTTTCAGATCTGACACTATTTGGTCTACCTGTTGGCCACGGCCTACTGCAAGCCGCGGGCAGACGGTGAGCAGCCTAGAAGATTGCGATGCCTAGCGTAGTTTTTGTAAGATATGCGAGCCTGCACCCTCAAAACTGTGTTACATATCTGTACCACCAATCAATTCTGACTAAGTGTTGAAGATATCCAGACAAACATGGCCTGGCCACGTTAATACAAAATTGTTGTCCTATTTTGATCTTCAATCTACATTCAAGAAATCCTTGTTAGTTCTGTATAGCCTAGATACAAATTCTGACGACATTTCTCAGTTTTATTGGCTTAAAAAGAGTTCACTGGACCACTGCAAAACAAACAGTGCCAGTGATTTCTTTCATGCAGTTATTAGAGTGATTCTCTCACTTTATTTAACATAGACTTAGGGCAGCCTTGACATCAAAGCAGCATCTGGCCTATATTCCAGTTATAGAAGGTAAAAATGTGTTATGTGTATATAAGAAAAAATGTCCTCAAAAACAAATGGGTCATATTAAGCAATGTTTTTGAGGGCCCTTTTACTATCAGGGGCTCTTTGTCAGCCTTGTGCCTCCCTTGCCAAGGCTCTCACTGCACCACTGCTAGACTGACAGCTTGTGTGGTACCTTCTTACTACCAGACTGAGTTTGTGTGGTACCTCAGAATCCATCTCAAAAAGACCAGGCTGACAGCCTGAATATTATCCTAGAATGCTTCCTAAAAATGTAAGCTAAAAAAGCTTGATGAAATCTGTCACTGTTGATCAGCCAGAAGCTTTTAAGATTTCACATTTCTAGATTAAGTTAAGGGCATGCATGACCTCAAAATTTCAGGGCATTGAGTCTCAGGACCACACAACCAAATATCCATCACAAAGCGATTTACAATAGCCTGAACTTATGTATATGACTATAAAATGAACAGTCTTATCCAAACTGATCCTGTCTATTTATCTTTATCACCATGACTATCCTACAAATGTACGAGCATAAATATTCAACATAGTATGATGCTTTCAGGGCTCCAGTGCCTGTCATACAGCTCCAGTATGTTATATGCTCCAGTGCCTGTTATACAGCTGGCAACAGCTCAAGTCCCATCATATTTATCATACCTAGCACTACATGCATTTGACAATGCAAAAACATGGTTCACATCTGTAAGCCAACTTTTGTATGCATAGGTAGCAGAGGAAAAAAGGTAAGATGTGGAAGCCTCATCTGTCAAGCAGGGCCATACTTCATGTGAACATGCTGTTCTGGGTAGGAACTAACTTTGTCAATAAACAGGTAGAAAATGGATTGTTTGCAGGCATATGGCAAACATCTCTGGAAAATCTAATAACAATATAATGCAGGAAGCAAACAAAAATATTGCTTGACTCAATGACAGCCAAAGGAAAAAGACAAGAAGACAGTCAACCCTCCTCTTGTCTGAAAGTCCATATTCTGTGCCAGAGCCTACACAACATAGATGAAGGTAATGAGGCTAGAACATGGAAGTGCCAACTACCAGCATACCATGGGTTTACTTGCATTCAAATTGAACAGACTGTTTAACTGGGCACTATAGATCAGATAGGATTGATGGCCCTATTCCTCAAACACTAAATGGGAGAATGCAGACATATGTGGTCATTCAGCTATATGCATTTGTCAATGCCAACATCAGTAGTAAATTCAAAATTGGCAATTTTGAATTTACTACTGATAGTTATTTGGATAAAAGCATGTAGCCAAAATATGATACCCATCTCTCCATTCTCCGGTTCAATCTATGACGAACAAGTTAATGCTACCTAAAATATGTGCATATTGTTCCTTGAAAATGCACTTAACAACTCACATACTATGAAAACAATGTACTTGGGCATAACAGAATGTTTTTCCCTGAAAGTACCATAACAGCACCCCGAGTTCATGAAATGCTGGAGGAACATGTGTTGCAATTAGTGGCAGTCATGCACTAACTAAACTTTTGACACTTAGATTTCACGCACAAGAGCGCTTCAATGATGGGAAAATTTAATCACTGCACCAGGCTGTATCTATCTTAGTCTGGGTCACTAGCATATCCCAAAACTATAACAATCTAAACCTGACAGCATTTATTGACAGAAACGTGACATAGAGAAGTCACATCTTCATCTTTACACATGGTTTTTTGGACTGGCTTCGCACAAACTTCTCGATGGGCCAACACCATTGGTGGAGACAATGGTTCTCATAAGAGTTAAAGTACAAGGCGGCCGAGTTGACAAACTATTACCAACTGGTGATTTGACAACGATCCATTGTGACACGCTTAGTGAGGGTCTGATCTAAAGCTCACCTCATGCAAGTCACCAGCATTTTTAAAGTATTCCGTGATTATTTGACGCCTTGCCTTCACAATACTGAGCCGCGGGTGAAGCGGTGAAGTTAAAGTTATGACGAGACGGCAGGTCCACCCAACCCCAACAGCACCCGCAGAGTAAACACCATCGCGGGATGGCTCGCGTCGTCAATAGCACAACGCGCTCGGCGCTAATTTATCTAGGATATACAATTCCAATTATGAGTTGGTGGGATCGAAAAGATGATATTGGGAAAAAACATTGACGTAATGATATTCCATTTTCCTCATTCTTGAGATAGTTCAATGCGTTATATGACGTCATTTTAAAAATTGCTTTTGTACTGAAATGTCCAAAATTGAATCTGCGTCGGAGTTGTAGACGTCTTAAAACTTCTTTTCATTTTATCCTCATTTTGGGATTAGTGTTTATTAGCAGTGGGCGAGCGCCTGTGAGGAGCGCGGTTGTTGAGAAGGCGTATGAAGACGAGCAGGGACCACTGCGTTTGATTTCCCTTTCAGATCCTGATTCATCCCTTAAGTTAGATATTGGAGACATGTCGGCTCTTGTTGATTTCTTTCAGAAGGGCAAGGTGAGTGTGTATGTATTTAACTGGTTACTAAGGTACCTAGGGGCAAGAGGCCGTATGGTGGGCGTTGACGGGCTCGTGGCTTGTACTTCGAAATATCTGTGTGCGTATCGAAAGGTTTTCTCCATTTTTTCCCGAAAATGTACAAGAGCAAGCACAAGTAGTTGTGATGAACATGCGGGCCATTTAAATCCAAAAGAATTATATTGCAATTTTGATCTTGTGCATGATGCATGCGTTGTGCATTATGGGAAGAAAGGAGGCCAGACATGGAGCAACATTTGGTTGGTAGCATATTTTGGGGTATTTTGGGTCATTTCTCACTGTTCAGCCACCCAAAGTCATGTTCTGAAACTATGACCCTCATTCTTCATGCAAGCATTGTGCTTCTTACACTTATTGATTACACTATATAAGACTACCAAGCGTGGCATGTATATCAAAATATTCATGAAATAGCATGGTTGATGTTACCAGTTGCCTTAAGATAAAATTCACCTTCACAATAAATTTTACATGCCTCCAAAAAATAACAAATGCTTATGCTCAGGAATTGTGTTCATTCACAATGTGTGAATTGTTAATTGTTTTGTCTTCATGTCAGTTGTAATATATGCATTTTTGATGTTTTATAGAGTTGTGTTATTTTGCATGCTGTTGCCTTGTATTTTTTCTTGCATTTGCTATATCATGTAGTTTTGTGTTATTTATGTGCTTCTTATCAATCAGTGACACCTTATTCTCCATGTTACCCTATCAGGCCTGATATCAACAAACTTGCACACAACATTGTGCCATTAAGTATTGCATTAGCTGGTGGCTACCTATCCGGTATGTTGTTATTTGATGCATTTTGTAATATTTTAACCACTGAGATTGTCTACACCACTCTCACCTGTCCCAAGGGTGCCTGTCCCTCTCACAAGCCAGCTCTACATATTCTACCATCTGATCTGATATTGAAAATGCTGATCAGGGATTATGAATTTGCGCTCGAGCTCAGGCTCCTGCAGTACCTATCCTTGTTATGAGCTTCATTGTTCTAATTTATAGTTCCCAACATAGTTGATGTAGCCAGCATTGGGTTGCCTTTTGAGCAGGCCTAATCAAATGTTTGATCTCACTTGTCATGGAAGATGTTCACCTAGACTCATTATTACTCTTTTTTGATAGCACAGATCCTTATAGTACCTACTTACCATGTGAATTTTGTTACTCTACCCTTCATGTTTGTAGAGATAGATAGGAAAATTAAGTGAATCTGCCCACCTTACATGGCAAATAAATAAAAGCACGGGCAGGTAGTGTGTTACAATCATTATACTGGCAGCATCACAATCCTCACTGTCCTGGTTTGGTTCCAGACTTTTAGGCCCAGAAAGAATTTCCAGCCTGGCACCATGAAGTACTCATTATACAAGCACGCCCAGGCCTCCTCCTCAACTCTGGTCTAAATCTGCGGCCTGGCTGTCAAGCTGCCTCCTGCGAGCAGCTCAATGACTGGATTGCTGTCCATGGTAAGTGTTGGCTTTGGGAGCCCACAACCATTCATCACTAGTCACCAGTTTGCTATTGCATTTCATTTCACTATACTGTCTGTTGTTGTCAGTTTGTGAAATAATTGTGCACTGGCATTACAAGTTCTTGGGGCCAACACATGTGTGCAAAACATTGAGCAAGGCAAGTAAGAGACAAAGCTTGCAGCTCCTGAACTCTGCTGCCGCAGTGGTCGACTTCTTCAACCGCATCAACCTGATCTATGGCACCATCTGCGACACTGCACGGAGGAGTCGTGCCCGGTGATGTCGGGAGGGCCCAAGTTTTGAGTACCGCTGGGCCGACGGGCACAAGTACAAGAAGCCGACGGCGCTGTCCTGCGCCCCAGTACATTACGCTTTTGATGGAGTGGGTCGAGGCGCAGATCAACGACGAGGCGCTCTTTCCCGTCACAGTCGGTGAGATGCTTCCCACCATAATTTACTGCTGGCTGTCTCTGTCTGTGCTGAGCACCATCATGACACTATGTTGGTATGATAAGCATGTGAAATAAACTTGTGTCAGGCATGACTTGATGCCATCTGTCCCTCAGTGACTGTATCCCTGTTTTTTCGAGATTTAATTGCAATAGTTAATGGGTGCTTAATGACCATGCAGCATCATCACCTCCTGAAATTCTAAGAAATTAATTATCTGGATAACAGTAATCTAGGCAGGTCTTTCCCATGTTCCTAAATGTGTTTGTCCTTGTAATGAAGTGAGATGAATATAGTTGTCTTGCATCCGAATGTCTTGTGACGTTGTGACAGGAACACCGATGTGGCTGCGTTGAAAAAGTTGTGATGGAAATATCAGTGGAACTGAGTTTATTCTGGTTCCGACCACGCAACGTCGATTTGCCCGGACCCGAGCACAAGTCTACCTCGAAGCCT